AAAGTTATTATATAAATAAGACTTCTTTAAATATAACAAAATTGTTTTGTTTTTTTCTAAGGAGTCTACAAACTAAATTTAATATTTTTCCAAAATTCTATTTGCAACTTTTTTAAACTAATTTATTGAAAATTTGATATATCTTTAAAATTAAAGTTCCATATGTTTCAGTTGTTTTTCCAGTTAGATATTTTGTGCCTAGTAAGATTATAAGCAGCTGAAAATATTAATAGCAAAAAAATAATAATTTTGATAGGGATGTTTTGAGATATTGGGCCCCAAAGTTGGTTTATAGAAACTAGTAGTTTTATTAATTTTTAAGCGTGTTTCTTTTATATTTTAGCATTTTAAGTACATTTATTGAATTCGGCATCAAAAAAACATTATATTTGTTTTTATATTTTTGCCATTTTTATTTCTTATTTTTTTAAGAAAAATCTTTTTCAGAATGTTATAAAAACCGGGTCATTTTGGGAAACCAGGTCAATGTTAAAATTGCAGTATCTTGTCAACCGCTTAACATTTTTAGCTGAAATTTTATGTGTTAATTTTTTTTTATAGATGCCAACGAAGTTTTTAAAAAATTTTAGGAACCATGGTTCAAAATTTCCTAAAATTTGGGTGATTTGATGTGGAATTACCCTGACATGAAGTGAACAAGTGTTAACTTTCTTGGATACTTTGGCCAAGGATTAATAAAATATTAATCTACAATTTTACTTCCTTTTTAAATTCTTTTATGTTTGTATATATATATATATATATATATATATATATATATATATATATATATATATATATATATATATATATATATATATATATATATATATATATATATATATATATATATATATAAATTTTTCTAATATATATTTCTATAAGTATCATTAATAAAGTATTTAAGCATTTAAAGTTCAATCTACCATTGACAGAAATAAAAGTTCAAAAAGTAGCTTAACATAGAAGCCAACAGCTTGAAACTGAAAAGTTGTTGATTTGTTTAATGTTTTTGTGATTGTTTGACACAATCCAATATAATTTATATTAAACACATTTTAATTAAAAATTATAGTTTATTTTAAACATATTTTAATTAAAAATAGTTTAGAATTTGTAATGAAAACATTTGTTCAAAAAATTGCCTCTGACAAACATTTCCAAAAATCAAAAAGAAACAATTTAAAAATTGATTGCAAACAGATTTTTCAAACTTGATAAAGTAAAAATAAAGTTTTAAAGTTTTTTTGACGCTAGTTCATTATTTTAGTTATGTATTATGTATTTTTTTTTTGTTGTTGTTGTTGTTTTTTTTGTTGTTTTTTTTAAACATCTTCGCTTCCAACAAGGCTGCAAGCAACCACTAATTAGTGTTGGAAGTTACTGGAAGAGAAAAGATGAAGATTGTAGAGTAAGATAACGATTGACAGACGACTTAAAAGATTGCAAATTAAATGAATCAGGAAAGCAAGATGAAGGAAGCTAATTCCAAAAAACTGATGTTCAAGGAAAAAAACTAGACGAATAAGAGTTTTTGGAGCACTTAGGAACAGTAACAGAAAAAGGATGAGGCTTAATTAAATGACGAGTAACACGAGAATGAATTTTTGTAGATGGCACAAGAGACGCTAGCTCTTTAGAGCAGTGCCCATTATAGTATTTGTAGAAAAGAGAAAGAGAAGCAACATTATAATGACGTGACAGAGGTTGAAGGTTGGCTGCAAGAGCAGTTCCAACTTGTTCACAATGCGTTTTTGCACCTTGTCTAAAAGAGAAAGGGCATCATTAGAAGATCCACCCCAGATATGGCAACAGTATTCCATACAAAGCCGGATTTGAGATTTATAGAGATAGAGAATAGAATCCAGAGTAAGAAAGTGTCGAGCTCAATGAAGAGATGCAACTTTAGCAGATGCTAATTTTGCAATGGATTTGATATAAGGTTTCCAAGAAAGATCAGAAGTAAGAGTTAATCCTAGAAGATGAAGGGTAGGAGACTCATCGAGTACATTACCGTTCATAAATATAGGAAGGTCTAAATTATTGCGATAACGACTGGCTGAAAAAAATTGAGTTTTATCTGAATTAAAGTTCACCAGCCACTGTGAGCCCTATGCTGTAGCAGAAGTGAGATCCTTTTCAAGCTCAGATGCCCCCTGCAAGCAATCAGAGGGAGTTGGCTTCTTATCATGACAAGAATAAATGGTAGTATTATCAGCGAAAAATGCCACCTTAAATGTGAGAATATCTGGAAGATCGTTAATGTTAATTAAAAAGAGTATAGGGCCAAGGATTAAACCTTAGGGAACCCCTAAGGTTACAGAATAAGAAGAAGAGGGCTGTCCATCAAGGACAACTTTTATACTACGATTGGAAAAGAAAGGACTCAATAATCTTAAAGATGTTTCCAGATACACTGTAAAAAGAAAGCTTATGGAGAAGACCAGCAAGCCAAACTTTATCAAACGCTTTAGAAATGTCCAGAGCAATGGCCTTAACCTCTCCACCTTTATCTAATGCGCGATAAAACCTATCGGTTATTACTGATAGCAAATCAGTCGTAGAACAAGAAGATCCAAATCCATATTGATGATCAGAAAGTAGGTTATAAGATTCGAGATAAGAGATAAAGTGTTTGTTAATTAAAGATTCAAAAACCTTGCTTATGATAGGAAGAAGATTAATGGGACGATAGTTAGACAAATCGGATCGCTCTCCAGAAATTTTAAAAATAAGGATAACAGATGCTGCTTTCCAGCAGGCTGGAAAACAAGACTCTGATAAGCACTTGTTAAATAGTTTTGAGAGGATAGACGACAGCTCCAGAGAACACTTCTGCAAGACTATAACAGGTATATTGTCCGGGTCGCAAGCATTAGAAGAGTCTAAGCAGGAAATCACTTTAGATACAGAAGCTGGAGTGATAGGGATGTTGAGCAGTGGATCAACCTGTTTGACGGCTATATCAGGTAGAACGCAACTAGTGGAATCAAGAGATGATATTGATGAAAATTTCTTGGCAAACAATTCAGCTTTGTCTTTAGGTGAGGTGACAAAGTCTGAACCATACAAAAGAGATGGAAATACAGTAATGGAAATACATGGAAATACATGGAAATACTTGCCTTTATTATTGATACTATTAAAGATTCTCCAGAAGTCACGAGAGCCTAATTTTTGTGATGAAATATGAGATTTCATGATCTGAGAATAGCAGGCTTTGGCGTTAGACAAAACTTTTTTACAATGGTTCCTCGCAGTAATAAACAGATGTCTGGAGAATTGTTTTGCTGATAGATATGGAAGTAATGGTTTCGATTGGCAATTGCAGCAGCACAATGTGAGAAAAACCATGGAGAAGAGTGAAGCTTGACCTAGAATTGTCAAGAGGGAATAAAGGATTCCATGCCAGCCTGAATCCACGAAGTTATGTAAGAAGCACATTTGTCAACAGGAAGAGGAAAGATTTCTACCCTGGGGCCATCATGAAGAAAATAACGGAAAGAGTCCCAGTCAGCTTTAAGGTAGTTGTAAGATGTACGATGATAGGGGGATTCTGATGGTAAAGAAGAATGAGATAATAGTTTTAGAGAGACCAAACCATGATCAGAAGCACCTAAGGGTGAGTGTGGAGAAACTGAGCACTGACTAGGATTAGAAACAAGACATAAGTCAAGTAGAGAAGGTAAATGATTCGGGTTGTTTGGAAAGGGAGTTGGAAAGTTGACTATTTTAGTTAGGGATTGAGAAAGGCAAAAGTTGTGGGCCTTAATGCCTGCAGAGTCACTGATACTAGAGCCAAGCCTTCAGTGTGATGATCATTAAAGTCACCGTCAACAACAATATTGGCTGATGGATAAAGAATGAGGACTTGGTCAATATAATCAGAAATAACATCAAGAAGAGTGCAGTTTTAAGATGAAGAAGAGTGATATAGAACAAAGAGAAAGGTGATAGAGTGAAGTGGTGCTAAACGAAAGCAAATAAAAGAGTAGTCTGTGGATTCAAACCTAGTTTCCTGACAAATGGGTGAATTCTTACCAATGTAAATGCCCAGGCCAAGCATGTAACTATTGGAGTCTTTACGAATTAAAGGAAGATAACCATCAACACTAAGATCACAAGATGAGACAGCTGAACTCAAATTAGTCTCACAAAGAGCAAGTAGGTCTGGTGAACTTTGCAAGAAATAAGACTCAACATAAGAAAAATTACTTCGAAGACCACGAATATTGGTGCATGATAGGTTTAGCGAACTTGGTGATAACTGTGGTTTTTTGTGTTTTATAGTTTTTGTTACTTTATTCAATTTTAAATTTGTTAAAGAACTTGACTCAAAACATAAATAGTACTCAGTACACTGCTTTATAGCCCAAGCAATTGCCTCATTTCCACTAATAAACCCTGAGCCGTAACAAAGGGATCCAATGTGGCCTTGGCAATGCACACCAAAAGTACAAACAGGGACACCATCTATGCGGAACATGGCACTGTTAGTGTTCTGGTATTTTTCAGTTGTTGATGGAATCAGCCTCTCTGAGAGCTACCACAGAGTTCGGGAAACCTGACTACCAGCCGGCCTCAGAACCATAAAACTGAGTTTTAGAGCTGTACCTTTATTTGGAGATAATAGAATGAGTTGCCTAGTCATAAAAACAGAGACACAAGCAAAACCCATGATTGAGTCAGAAGATCCAGCGTTCAACATCCTAAACTGGAAACAATGTATTAAAAATAATATTACATTTACAATTTACAATGAGTTATTTATATTTTAAACAAAACATAGTACATGAATTAATCACTGTTTTTATTAATTAAATTATTTACCAAAGATCACTGTAAATTATTATTATTATTAGTACGATAATAGTATTTATATGATTTACATTATATTATGATGATTGTGTATCTATGTGTGTGTGTGTGTGTGTGTGTGTATGTGTGTGTGTGATAGTTATGCTTTAAATATAACTTATTTTTTTCTAAATGATTTTTAGTTCCTAGTGGTCCTCCGCTCAATTTTGTTGTTGCACCTTTCAGTTTCTCATCTTTATTATTATCATGGGATAAAGTTGAATATTCAAAAAGTAATGGAACTATTAATCTTTATAAATACTCATGTAGCAATGAAATAAATACTTGGTACACTGTTGATAAAAATACATTTCAAGTAATAGTAGGCAACCTAGCTTTTAATACAACTTATAATTGCACAATTACAGCATGTACATGGGTTGGCTGTGGTGTTCAATCATCTTTATTTAATACAACTTTAAATGGATGTAAGTTGAATGTTTCTTTATAAATTTAATTTGTTTTTGTGATAATATTATTATTACTTTTATTATTATTGTTATTGTTGTTATTACTAATAATAATAAACCATTGCAATTATCCAAGATAACTATATAAGATTATACAAGTCAAATAGAGTAAGCGAGATAAAATGCTATGCAAAGTAAAAAATTACCAAAAAATTAAAAAAAGGTTTTATACTTCATTATTTTTTAATTATATAACTAGATTTACAACAATTATGTAATATATATATATATATATATATGTATATATATATATATATATATATATATATATATATATATATATATATATATATATATATATATATATATATATATATATATATATATATATATATATATTAATAAATATATATAGTATATATATAAAATATATATATAATAAAATTATTTTTTAATAATACTGTTATACAACTATAGTTGTATGGTTTTATTTAATTTAATAAATAAATACTTTTACTTCCTAATTATTTGCTTTAGCAACTACTTTGGTAACCAATTAGTGTTAAGTAAACTCAAAACTAAATTTTAATGACTCCTATAATGTTTGATTTTTTGGTATTTTTTTTTTTTTAATTTACTAACATAAAGACTGCAAAAAAAAAAAAAAGTCAAACACGAGTTAGTTAATGAATTGATTTGATAGCTTTTTCATTTAATAATTTTCAAACATGTTTTTTTTTCCTCCTTGTTATTTTAAATACATGTTTGCTGTTACTTTATATTTTGTTACAGAAAAAACATATTATACTCCATGATACATGGATCATGGAGTATAGGTAACATATAACTAAAATATCAAAAAAAGCAGTTATACTTTCAAAGACTAACTACTTTTTTGCATCATGAAATACCATGTCACATGCTATGAAAGTATAGCAGCTTATACATTACTATACTTTTAAATAAGAAAACTACTTTTTTACTTTTTAAAGAAAAAACTATTCTTTTAAGTTAATTAATTTCTTTTTTGGGTGCATATTTTTGAGTTTTATTTGCATTGCTGACTTTAGACTGTTTTAGTTTTTAACTTTTAACTTGTTTAAAAAAAACAATTTTGCTGTTTAAAAAAAAAATCTGTTTTTTTTTTTTAGCACCGGAGGAAAGTGCCAACATTACTTATATCCATAACATTAACTCATCATCAATCAATGTCAGTTGGAATGATATCTCGTTTTCAAAATGGGGCATTCACGAAAATCAATTATTTTGTTTAGATATAGAGAATAGCTCACAGATTGTAAAAACAGAATGTGTTGAGTATGTTGAAAATACTATGAATATTAATTTTGCTTTAAATATTTAGTTTTATGTAAACAAAAAGTCTTTTTTTTATTGATTGGTTTATTTTATGTAAAGTAATGTTTTTTTTGTAAGTTTATTTAGCATAAAGTTATGTTATGAGTTGATTAATTTTTCTTTTTAAAGATAAAATAATTGAGTATAAAATATCTAGATACGTTGGTAAACATAATACTATAATTAATGGACTTGATCCTTATACAAAATATGCGGTGTTGGTATATTGCAAAAATAAAGTTGGAGTTGGGTTTAAAGACAATAATAAAAAAAAATCAGTTTTTACAGATGAACTACGTAAGTTTGAATCTTCTTTTAAACAATTATTTCTTTTTATCATAACAATTGTTTCAAATAATTTTTTTAATTTTATTATAATTTTTTTTTTTTATAATGAAAACTGTAAAACTGTTAAAAATTGTCATCAACGTGTTTAGAAACTTTGTTTTAATAATTAATAATTAATTTGTTTTAATAATTAATTTTAAATAATTTAAAAGTATAAAAATTTTTTTTTTTTTAATAAAACTTTGTATTAAAAAAAAAACAATTTACTTATTTATAAATATTTATACAGGTAGCATCAATAATATAATTCCACTTATATCACTGTCATTTTTGTTACATGTCACTATTTTGTGAATTCCTAAGTTCTTAATTATTTAAATTAAATATCAGACTAAAAAGTATAAAAATAATGTAAAAATTTCATTAAATAAACAAACCATACAATGTGGAGATGATTTTTTTAAATCTTTATACAATGTTTTGCTGAAGAAAATAATTGTTATTAGTAGTTGTTAGATTGAGAAGACTTAACCTATAACTAAAATGTAACTGTAAAAATAAAAATGTAAAAATTGTTTGTAATTTTTTATGTTATAAAAGTAAAAATTAATTGTTCATATTTATATATTTTTTAAACTAGTTGACTTTCAAAAGGTTGCAAGCAATCACTATTAAGTTGGGAGTTTCTAGAAAACAAAGAATTGTGTTAAAGATAAAGGAAATGGTTGACAGAGAGTTGGAGGTTGTATAAGTCAGGAAAATATGAAGATATGAGAGAGTTCCAAAGTTTAAGTGTTTAAGTTTAAGTGTTTACTGTACTGTTAAGTGTTTATTGTACTGTTTAAGAGAGAGGAAAAAATTTAAAAAAATAAAAGAAAATGCAAGACAAGGAACAGTAAAAGGGATGCAACTGTGTAGAATGACGAATCACGCAAGAAATAGTTTTAATTATAGAACTGGAGATGATAGCTTCTTTGAGCAGCGACCACTCTAGTATTTGTAGAAAAGAGAAAGAGATTTACATCAATAGAAGAGAGGCTCAAGCTTGGCAGATAAAGCAGGTCCAACTATATTTACATTACTTTTTGAACTTTTTCTAGAAGAGAAAAAATATCATTAGAAAAACCAGCCCAAATATAACAACAGTACTCCATACATAAAGAAACAATAGATTTGGAGAAGATGTAATCAGTAGTAAGATAATGGGGAGCATTATAAAAAGAAGCAATCTTAACAAATTGCAATGGACTGTATATATGATTTCCACAAGAGGTCAGTAGTGAAAGATAATCCAAGAAGATATAAAGTAGATAACATAGTAAGAGTGCTGCTATTCATCAATATAGGAGTGTCAAAAATATTGTGATAGTTGTTTGCAGTAAATAACTGGTTGGAGTTAAAGTTTACAAGCCACTGTAACCCCAATTTGTTACAGAGGTGGGAAAAGATTCAACATTGACTGCCATTCATCAATATAAGAGTGTCAAAAGTATTATGATAGTTGTTTGCAGTTAATAATTGGTTTTGAAGAGTTTTGTTGAAGTTAAAATTCAAATGTCTTTGTGAGTTTTAATTTCAATATAAGCTTTGCTTTTGTTTTGCGAGTTGTTTTGGGATAAAGATGAAAAAAATGATTACAATTAGATCTAATTGTAATCTGGTGAATCTAAAGATGTAGTACGGCAAAAGATTTAAAGTGGTCATTCTATGGTCATAACCACCTAAAAGAGATCAAAGAGAAAATAAACACAAGCTAGGGTCAGAGACAAGATACACATCAATAAGTAAATGTAAATGATTAGGTTTGTCTGGAAAACAAGTCACAAAGTTAACTATTTGAGTAAGAGATTGAAAAATACAGAAGTTATATGCTTTAGTGTCATCAGGGTCAGTGGTGTTAGAGCCAAGTCAGTTTGTCCAAACTGTCTAATTTCTTTTTTTCATGAAAAGAAAGGGCTTAGTCAATTTGGTTAGAAATTAAATCTTAAAGAATGCTGTCCTGAGAAGTAGGAAAGCAATAAAATACAGTGAGTTGTAATTGAGTGATGAGGTTTTAAACAGAAGCACATAAAAGAATTGCACATAAAAAGGATTTAAACCAGCAGATAGGTGAATTAATGGTTAAGTATATGCCAAGGCTATGTAATTATATGGAATCTAAGTAAGCTAATCAAAGTATAATAGCTATCAACACTGAGATCTGAAAATAAAGCAGCTAACTTTAATTTAGTCAAAGACAAATTAAAGTTAGCAAATTAGTCTGGTGAATTTTGCAAACGTTAGGATTTAACTGATGAAAAGTTACTTTGAAGACCATAAATATTCGTAAAAGATAAACTGAAACAGTTAGGTCTAGTGAATTTTGCGAATGGTAAATTTTAACTGATAAAAAGTTACTTTGCAATGAGAAGGAAGTTTAAATTTGGCTAGAGTAGATAGATAGAGGCTAGAATTGGTCTAACTTGCATTTGCAATGGGTTTTTGGAACTTGTCTGAATAAGGAAGGACAAGTATTATAACAGTGATTTTAAGAGGTAAAATAGATTTATTGAGAGAATAAAATCAGAATAAAGAAAATAGCAAGATATAGGGAGACAACTAAAGTAGATGTTAACTTTGCATTGGATTTTATATATGGTACCTTGAAAGGTCAGTTTCTGTATATAGGAATGTCTAAAATAATCCATAAACCATTAGCTATAAACATCTAAGCAACCGGTTTCCTAAATTGGAATACTTTGATTCCTTAATCAGCTTGATCCCTTAATAAAAAATAATTACAATAAGATTAAAATAAAAAAGATAATAAAATATAAAAAAGCTTAAAGTTTAACTTAAAAGTTTAAAAATTATTATGACAATCTTCCATTTTATTAATTTAAAATCATTTTAATTAATAAAATAAAAGATCTTCATAATAGTTAAATTATGATGTAATTTAAAAATAAATAGATTGTAACTATATATTTTTAAATTACATTTAAAGATATATATAAAACTACTCTTCAATCCCTTTAATTTTATCACTGATTAAGTAAGGAATCTTTATAGTTCCAATTGAGGAAACTTTGTACTATTTTGTTATATCAATGCAATATCACGCTTGCAGCAACTTATAAAATACTTGCATCATAAATCCTTTTGCATCAAGCACTAAAGACCATTGACCTACAGCAGATAGTTTACACGGTACAATCAATATAGAGTAATGCAAAATTAGATCACTTAAAGAAAATCATGCAAAAAAGCTTTTAATTGATGGTGCACATGCATATTTTGAAATTTTAAAATCTCTCAAAATGTAGAAAAATAAGTTTTAATAAAAAAATACAAAATTTAGCCATGGCGCATGCCATGGCTAAATTTATTTCAAAAATTTTTGTAAGAGTTCCAATTTAAGTTCCAAAAAATTATTTCAAAAATTTTTGTAAGAGTTCCAATTTAAACACTGTTTCAATTTTGGCAACACTATCCTATTACTTTAAAGGTAATAGGATATACTATCCTATTACCTTAAAAGCAAAAAGAAATCTGCATCACTTAGAATCAGGATTAATAAAAAAATGTTGCTCATTTTTAGAAGCTTACAAAAAAATAGCTTTAATATTAAATCAACATTAATCAATAGCCATCATTAAATCAAATAAAATATAGAGAGATTAATCACTAATTGTGTTTAACAATGTAAAACAATATATTTTTTTCTAAAATTTTTTTACAATATTTTTCCTAATACTAAATTCTTCAAATGGAAAAATTTATTTTTTTTAATCAAAAATAATTAAAGCTTTTAGATTTCCTAGTTTAGGTTTTTAAATTTAAAAAAAAAAGTGTTTATACAAATTTTTTTAATTTTGTAACTGTAAATGAGTTTTTTAAGAAACCTGCTCTATTGTTTTAATTTTTGTAATAAATGAATAGTATTTTTTATAATTTTATAGTATTATAAGATAAAATTTAATGTTTAAATTTGCTAATTACTATAAAGTTATAACTTTCTTTTGAATAAAAGTATATTTTTGAAAGTAAAATATATTTTCTTTATAATCAGAAAAAACATGTTTTTTTGTTTAAAAGAAACACTTCTTGTTGTTATGATGTTTTTTTGTTGTTATGATTTTTGGTTTTTGTTTTTATTATGTTTTTTTCTTCCATTAATTCTTTTGATGTTAACAAATTTTAATTTTATTGTATTGTTGATCACTTCAATTCACACTTTTTAAATTATTTTAGCTCCATTGGTTTCTCCTAAAAATATATCAGTTGATTCAAATAGCACAAACAGCATATTGTTACAATGGAAACCTCTTGATCAAAACGAGTACTATGGTGTTTTAACAGGTTACAGTATTATAGTTAAAGCTGTTTATTCAGAATCAGATTTTAAATTACAAAGTAAAAGAAAGAGACGCGGTCTTGACATGCAAATATATAATGGAAGCTTGCTTTTAGAATGGTCAGTGAATTTTAATTAGATTTTTTTAGAAAAGGTAATAAAAGCTAAATAAATCTAAAAAAAATAAAATAGCCTAATAAATAATCTAAATAAAATCTAAATAAATATGTTTTTGTTAACAATAAAAATTACAAATAAAAACATACAGCCACATAATAGTAACAACTTAAAGGATGCCAAAAATATTTATAAACATTATAACAAAAGCTACAAATATTTGCAATAAACAGTTATGAAATTTTTTTATCAAGACTCAGGGATCCCAACAATCTAGTCAGGAGGGGGAGGTGGGGATTTTTTAGATTTTTTTTTTTTTACATTATTCACCTCCCCAAGGCCCGAGGGGGCCACTACAGTCGAGGAGGCTACTCATTTTTTTGTGTTTTTTATTTTTTTGTTGTATTTCGTGGTACAACCCTCTCTCAACTCTTTAACTCCGAAACACGAACCTTGACAAGCAAGGCCGCTGCGCGGAGAAACTAAGTTGAGCGCGGTACTTCCAGGGACGTGGTGGGAGTCGAACTCCGAACCTCTCGCTTACAAAGCGAGCGCTCTTACCACTACACCACTGCCGCATTATATATATATATATATACACATATATAAAGAAAAATTGTTTTCAAAAAATCTAAGAAGGGGCAATGACTCCCATTGCCTCTCCCTATGGTTCCATTCATGTCAAGAAAAAATTATATAGTTGATAATCAGCATATTCCTTTTTGGGGTAATATTAATAGTATTAATATTATAGATAAGGAACAAAATAGGACGAAGGATTGGAACCATGTGGTACCCCAGATGTCACTTGAAATGATTTAGCATGCCAGATTTTAAAAAAAACTTTGATATAAAAAAGAGCAAAAGTTGTAAAGCTTTCATATATTGTAAGATAGAACCTTTCTGTTAAATCAGTTAAGCAATCAAGTAAAACTCAGCAGTAGAACAAAAGGTTGGAACACCATATTGATTGTCAGAGAATAAGTTCTTAGACGCATAATGAGATATTTGACGTTTGTTAATTAAAGATTCAAAGACTTTGTTAGTATAAGCAAGAAAACTGATTGGATAATAGTTTAAGGGGTTTGAGCTATGTCATTTTCAAAATAATCAATAATAACCATGTAATTGATTAGCGATACAATAAAAAGCAGAAATAAAACATATCATAAATGTACCAGAAAAAAAAAAAAAACAATGAAAAAACTTGGGATGTTTAAGAAACTAGATTAAAATTAAATTTGATACTTTTCCACTATAAGTTAAAAATAATAAAAATTTTGTAGGTTTTTCAACCACCATGAAGTATTGTTAATGTTGTTAAGATAAAAACTATACGTTCTCTCAATCAACCAAGACGTTCATTGAGAGAACCAAAAACTATACGTTCTCTTAATTAACCAAGACATTGATTGGGAGAACGCATAGTTGTGTTTTACAACTTTAAAGATTTATAACCATGACCAAGACTGAGATGATTCTTGTTTTTTTATAAGTTAAACATTTTACAAGCCTTACTTTAATGAAAATAAAGTAAAACTAAAAAAGTTTGAGTATCCCAAGATATCTTGTGATAAACAAATATAAAAAAATTGTGTTAATTATGGAACTGTTTGATTTATTTAGAGTTCATTTAAAAAAAGAAATTTTCAATTTATGATCTGAAAAGCTGAAAAATGTTGTTAATAACTTTTCAATGAAAAAATGAAACTTTAAAATGAAACTTTGGATATATATATATATATATATATATGTATATATATATATATATATATATATATATATATATATATATATATATATATATATATATATATATATATATATATATATATATACATATATATATATATATCAAACCCTTAGTCTATGTAGTAGCATTCTTTGCTGCAGGAGGCTATAAGATAGTCTATGTATGTACTGAAGTTCCGGCAGCATGCTATTTAAGTGTGGCGTTAGAGGTGTTATCTAAACATGCATTGATAGTGTATATATATATATATATATATATATATATATATATATATATAGATATAGATATAGATATAGATATATATATAGATATATATATATAGATATATATATATATATATTAAATATATATATATTTTTTTATGTAACAGTAATCTTTGCGTATTATTGCCAGTTGATGCATGTAGCGATTGAAATTAAAAAAGTTAACAACCATTAAAATAAAAATAAATATTCAGAATGTTTTTTGTTTTTTTGAAAAAAATAAAAATATTTTTTTTGTTTTTAAAAACATTTCAGGCATTTGATTGTTTTTAAAAACATTCCATTACTTTGCGTTTTTGTGGCTTTTAAAAAAACAATAAAATTTATATAAAACTAAATTTCTCAATTTAATTTAATGGTTTTTACATATAGTGTATTTAATTTTGTCTTCTTTAAATACAAAGAGCCAGTAAAGGATGTTTTTTACCTGGAAATGTAATTTTAGATATCAAACTATAGAAATGGGAAATTGCAGTTAAAGTTAGCCTTGGAAATGCAAAAAAATTATTAAAGGATAGTTTCATTTCAAAAATTGACAAACTTGTTGATATTTTATCCTGTAAATGTTTAACAATGTTATGTTCAGAGTATGGTTGTGATCAAGGCTGTAAAAAGCAGGTGCATATTAAATGTGTGTGTGTACGCAAAAACAAAATTCCTGTTATAGAACTCAGCTTTATCAAGTCACAGAGAGCCAAAGTTGGAAGTTTTGTCCATTACTATATTGGTGGAGTCGACACAATAGAATCAAAAAAAAATAAAACAAGTTGTAAAGAGAAAAGAGGAGTATCAGCAGCAATTAGAAATGAGAGTTGAAAAATTTAAAAAAGGAAGAAAAACTCAACCAAATGATTCCAGAAGATTATAATTGCTTTGCACAGATTAATCAAGTAATAATAAAATATGTTTGTTAGTAAATAATTCTAATATAACTATTTTTAAAGAAATTAAATGTTGATAAGGTGATTTATAAAATTATCTCAATATCTTTTTTTACTTTTTAGATTTTTTAATAAACCACTAACTTAATGATAATAACACAAAGTTTAAGTCTTGTATTAATTTTTTTAGATTGAAAAAACAAACAAAGTTGACTCAGAACCAAATATTTCTGGAGAACCAGAACCTTCCAATAAAATTGCAAAGATTTATAACAGAATGGATATAACAAACATTGCACTTGCTAGTATAAGGCATCACACTAGCTTACAAGAAATCGCAGAAATAGCGACAGCAGCACTTATTGATGCAAAAATTATAACAAAAAATGATATATTGATGATTATTGATCACAGCAAGGTTAAAAGGGCGCAAGAGAAGTTAGCCATCGAGTTAGACAATAAATTTAATAAAGATTTTGAAAATAATGTGGTTTCCTGTATTTTTTTGATGGCAGGAAAGATAATACAAAAGTATTAACGGAATTTGATGGTAGGTATTTCCCTGGTCTTCTTAAGGAAGAACATTATTCTGTTGTTACTGAACCAAGTGGTAAATATCTATTTCATTTTGTTCCTGATAAAACTGATCACAGAAAACATGCTGAGGTAATTGCAGACCACTTTGTTAACTGGTTGGTAGAAAGAAATTTAGGAACACAACTTAAAGCTATAGGAGGAGACAGTACAAATGTAAATACTGGTTGGGAAGGTGGTGTGATGCAATAAGTGTAAAAAAAATTAAGAAAGAGATTAGTGTGGGTTGTGCGCAATCTTCACACAAACGAGTTAGGGTTAAGGCATTTAATTATAAGCTTAGACGGCCTAACAAAATGTGGAAATAAGTGGTCAGGACTACTGGGAAAATTGTTAAACACAGCAACAAGTCTTGAAATTAATCCCAGATTTACAAAAATTGATGTTGGGGCTGGATTAATTGTTCTAAGTCCTGAAATAATAAAAGGTTTAAGTTCTGATCAGAGCTATTCTTACAGAATAACAAAAATAATAAGGTCTGGTGATTTACCTCAGCAGTTAGCAATGCTAGAGATAGGACATGTTTGCCATAGCAGGTAGCTCACAACAGCATTAAGGTTTTGCAGGATATGAGTTTCTCAGCATGGCCTATATGGCACCAACCTTCAAAATCTTACATGAATTGTCTAATTTATTGTAGGTGTTTATATTCCAAACTGGTTTAAAATAAAAGTTAAATCATGTTGGGTTGAGTATATACCAAGACACATTTTATACTAATTAGAACTCCTCAGAAGCTATATATATATATATATATATATATATATATATATATATATATATATATAGATATATATATATAGATATATATATATATATATATATATATATATATATATATATATATATATATATATATATATATATATATATATATATGTATATGTATATATATATATATATATATATATATATATATATATATATATATATATATATATATATATATATATATATATATGTATATGTATATATATATATATATATATATATATATGTATATATATATATAAGTATATATATATATATATATATATATATATATATATATATATGTGTATATATATATATATGTATATATATATATATATATGTATATATATATATATATATATATATATATATATATATATATATATATATATATATATATATATACATATATATATATATATATATATATATATATATATGTATATATATATATATATATATACATATATATATACATATATATATATAGATATATATATATATATATATATATATATATAATATATATATATATATATATATATATATATATATATGCATACTTTGGTGAGCAGTGTAATGTCATACTAAATTAGGGGGCTGCCAGTGGTTTCAATTAATTGGTATTGTATATATTTTTATTAGGTTTTCATAAGTCACAGTTGTGTAAAAGAACAGCTTTTAAGTTTGATATGTCTATAAAAATTCTTCATTTTTTATTTGTGTATTTAATTCCAAAATATTTTTTTAAACCACTAATATCATGATAATTCACTGAATCATCTTCTTTACTAAATCATTTAACTCATCCTGTAAAATAACTAAGGTTTTAAATTTTCTTTGAAAATAACAAAAACCATCTAATCAAATCTAGTCCATCTGCAAGTGCTACAAAAGTAACATCTTGTTTACACTCAACTAGATCATGTGTGTATACAATCAATCATTTTTAAATTTTGTGACTTTTTCTTTATTATTTTTTGACTCAACATTTGACTTAATTTGGTACTATATAAATTATAAAAACTATTTAATAATTTTATAAGCTAAGATTGTATTCACTGTTAGTCTTTAAACTTGGGTAACATACTGAATTTTATACTGGAGGCTATCAAAATAGGCAATACATACATTAGTTACATAGAGTTACATACATACATGTAGAGTAACATACATAGAGTTAGATGGGAAATAAAATATATTTCTGCAACAAAGTAATTTGTTGCAGAAATATGTTTTGATAATAAAACAATTAATTCAAGTGATTTTATTATTTTTTGTGTAAATAATATATTTTGTGTTAATTTAATAATGGTTTTAGGTGTTTTTAATTTTTGAAAACTTTATAATCAATTTCAATGATGTTTTATATTTTATAATTATTAGGGAAACAAATTTAAGCAATCCTAATGCAACATTCTTTAACATTACAAGTTTGTTTGGAAACACAATTTATATAATCAACATATCTGCTAACACAAAATACCAAGGAAAATTTAGCTCTGGAGTTCAAATCAAAACCAAAGAAGGAGGTTTGAAACTTTAATGTATTTTTTAAGAGAAATTACGAGGCAAAAAAAAGTCTGAGATTTTGATTATGTTAAGTTGATTAAAATTGGCTCCAAAGCCTTGTTTAAAAGTATTTTTAAAATAATTCTGTAGTTTTTATTTTTTTAAAGAATTAAAAAAACATATTTAGTTCCTCTTGTATCTGCTGTCAATCTTCAATGTGATATAATAACTGACTGTTCTATTTCTATACGTTGGCAACCAACTCCACCTGGGTACCTTCAAGGTATACTTATAGGCTATACATTGTCTTATCAAAAAGTTGACACGGGAAAAATTCAATATGAATCCTTAAATACAGAGTTCACAAGTTATAATGTAATCAATTTAAATGCATTTACTAATTATAACATAGTATTGATAGCTTTGACTAAAAATGGCGGTGGCAAAAATTCACAATTAACATGCAAAACTGATGAGGCAGGTAGGTATTTTTTTTTTTTTATAATTTTAAGGTAAAAAATATTTATTGATTTACTTGATTTCAAAAAATAATTTTTATGACGTGTTTAAGATTCAAATGAACTATATAATTAATACAAAATTAATTTTCATAAAGAAAAATTGAAATATGCCTGTAAATGTCATAAATGTTTTATTTCTTATTCTAAACTGCAATCGATAGGTTTGAACGCTACATAAAAAGTCAGATTTAGCATTTTATTCAAGTATAATCTTTTTAACCTGACAATAATTTTTAATTCGACGCCTCTGAAAGTGCCCTGCTTAACCAGTTTTTTTATGCAGTGGTCATGTTAAATAAGGTTAGTATTTAAGATTTCAGGGCTGAGAGAGTTTCAAATAAAATAAAAAATTGAAAAAATAGTAGCTGCCTCAACTGTTGAAAATTCCATTGAAGCCTTGGGGAGGTGAATTAAACAAAAAAAATTTGTAAACCTTCATGTTTTTGCATTGACATTTAAAGTAATATTTAGTTTACTATTGGAGTAATTATACATCCCCCCCTTCCCCCCTCTGGCATATGGCGCTTTTTTTTGACAAGGTAAACTTAAAACATGTGTCCGCCCCTGAACTTTGTTAACATTACTTGCACCACAAGTACTTTTTAATGATATTTTAGAGAAAGTTGAGGAGACTTTTTTCAGTTCATTTAACATAAAATGCACTTTTTGGCTATGGGCATATATGTAAAAATAGTTAAACAAAATATGTGTAATGAAATACATTTGACATAACTGTTATTAAACACATGTCAAAATCACTACTGTATACTTAATTAAATCCATTTTTTGTTTTTTGTTTTGTTTTTTGTGTTTTGTTTTGTTTTTGCTTTATGTTTGAAATTTATTTGAAGCAATTTCAAATTAATTATATATCCAATGAAAGAAAAACAAAAGAATTCTTTAAGAACTATGCATAAACTTATCACAAGATAAAAATTTTTAACATAAACTCTGCACAAATTAGATTAAACAGGCACAATGGTGTTAGAATTACAACAAAAATCTCTTTTTAAAAAAATCATTTTAAGTAATAAAACAGTGTTTACTTGACATTAGTTTATCTTTTATAATGTTTTAAATAGTTTTTTATTTATAATTTATTTTTTTATTTTTTATTATTTTATTAGTATATTTGTTGATTTATTTAATTATTATTGTTGTTTGAATTAGAAGCTGGCACTTGGCTGTGTTTTATATTTTTACATACTATTCAAATAAGATGTTTAGTATTTTTTGTTCATAAATAATTTTAAAACCTCATATAATTTCATATAATTTAAAATTAGGTTGTAAAACTTGACTATTGGTTTTTAGATTGTATAAATTTATATAATTCTATGGGGTTTTTTTTATTAAGTTGTTTTGTTTTTTTTATTTTAAATTGATTTAATACAGTTTAGAGTTTATTGATAAAAAATATATTTATATAAGTTGCGGTAGTGGTAGAGCTCTTCCTTCATAAGCAAGAAGTTTAGTGTTCAATCTAAAAAAAAAAGTGAATACAAGTTGCGCTCAACTTGTTTTCACTTTTTTGCTCAAAACTACTGGGTTCACTTTTTGTTCTAAAAATTCTTAGAGTTAAATTTTTGAATCAAAGGTGAATAAAAGTTTTCCAACTTTATTGTTATAAAAAATTGTTTATATAACCAATTATAGAAAAAATGTAAAAGCCAATTTGGTATTTTTTTTTTTAATAAAAGAACTAAGAAACTTTTCTTTTTTAATTGTTTTGTATAAAATATTTATATTAAAATTTTTTTAATAGAATAATTATTTCAAACTTTAGATAAATTTGAAATCATTTTTTTTCTTATCAGTACCTATAAAAGCCCCTACTGGTTTAACAGCCACATCATATTACTACCCAGATAAAACAAATGTTTCATGGATCCACATAAGTCAAAATGATTGGAAAGGAAGACCTCTTGGTTACACTATAGCATATAAGCTTCTTAAACAAGGAGATGTAGACATTCCTAATCAACCTTGGGTAATGGTCAATATAACTTATACAAACCAACCAATGCACCAACTTGAGAACTTAGGACTATATTCTCAGTATTCTCTTAAAATAGCTGGTTACAATAGGAAAGGTGTTGGATCGTTTAGTGGTGTTATTAATTTTGGTAAGTTTAAATAAATTATTGTTTTAACCATATTTTATTTTAAAACCATTTGATATATTCAATTAAAAGTCCAGATTTGTCTAACCCTAAATACATCATTGTATTTAGGGTTAGACAAATCTGGACTTTTTTTAGAAATCCCATAAACACCTGGTGATTCAAAAAAATGGCTTTAAACCTAATCAAAATTAGTAAATAAAAACATATTACTTATTTCACTGAGTTTTTAAACCATAGATAAATGAATTTATAGACCCTACTGCCACTCTGTAACTACTTCTTACACACAGTACTGCAAGATGTAATTTTAAATTTTTCATGGCAATTTATTCCAGACAAAATGGATAAAATGCCTATATTTATTATTATTCACACACCTAATTGTTGTTCTTATTTTTGCTGATATGTGGTGCTTCTTGCATTAATTTTGTATGCATTACTTACCATTCTGTTGTTAAAGTCTACTGTTCATTAAACCCATTGGTCATTTTTCTTATATTTAGAATTGTTAACAGTATTTTATTTGCGCTAAGTTCACAATATTGGGGGTATGTAGTAAAATGAGATTCAGAATTCTAAGGTTAATTTTTTTTTTGGTTGCTATGGCTACCTTAATTTGCATAGCATATAAACAACATATTTTTGGTAGTTGTTAGTAATTTAATAACTAACACTAACTGTAATTTAATTACTTTTAATTTTAATTACTAACACTTGCAGTAACTTAATTACTAACAAGAATTAGTAGTCCACGCGGCATATATATTGTAGCATTAGCCAAAATTATAATTAGCAAAATATAAATACGTTAGTTTTAGACTTGCTGTTCAACGATTTGTTTACTTGTATAAAAAAAAGTGGAAATCTGCAAACTATACTGTTAAAAAAAAATTTTTCTTTTAAACTATATCAACCTGGTACTCAAAAGAAGCAGAAATAATATGCTGATTTTGAAGATATTGTTTGTTTTAATTAAAAAATAAAAAATAAAAAAATAGAGCTGTTTTTTTCATAAAAACAGCTCTATTTATACCTTGAAATCCCAGCCTTTGACAAAACGGGGGTTTCAAGGTATATTTTTGCAAATATTTTTTTCACTAAAATTTTTTTATCATAAAATTGTTTTTTATCAAACAAGCATTTTTTTCTGCTTTTTTTTTGAGTTCAAGGTTGATATGGTTTTAAAACAAAATTCAAAAATATTAGTACCCGTCAAGAATTTATAATCCAAAGAGGAACCTCAAGATCTAATCAAAATCGAAAAATCTTTTTTTACTTTCATCTTATAAATAATAGGCATCGATTCGTGTCTCAGGAATATTGATTTTTTTTCTATGAAAATTGCTCCCCCTTTATATAGAACTGTGACATATACTTTAATTATCAATAATTTGTTACTTTATTTTAAAGCGTTTCGCTAATATAAAAACATTAGTTAAAAGTTTTAACTTAACTTTCATAATTAAGATTATTTTTCATTCAGCGCGTTATTAAAATGTTAGTGAGTAAAATCAATAAAAAAATTTTGCTACAAATTCATTAAAAAAAAATCATTTATCATTTTAAAAAAGATAAAAATGTTTAGACAAAGATAATAATCATAAATCAGCATACCTATATTACAAAAAAAAGAAGTTTAAACCTTATTTATTAGGAATATTGTTTACCTTGCTTCAATACCCAAACACAATTTGAACAACCAAACAAATAAATATTTTAGGTGTCTTTTGAAGGGGTGCTAAAATTATCACCCTGCCAAAATTACACTATTTTTAATATTTTTATTTTTTATTTTACCTTATTTATTATGTTTTTAATGTTTTTTATTTATTATATTATTTATGTTTCATTACTAATTTTTTAATCTTGGAGTAGTGTAAAAAATGTCTTGAAAAAAAGTTGTCTAAAAGTACTGTTGGAAGATATTTTTTACACTCAGCGCATCCCTAATATACATATAAACAAATATTGTACATGTATAATAAATGTGCATATAAAATAAAAAAAATACCACTTACTACTGCTATGCGTGATTCAATTGTTTATGAGAAGGTAATCTTGAGTAATATTTATGAAGAAATAATAATAATATGACATCTACTTGCGTAGTTGTTAAGTATAAATATTTAAAGAACTGTGAACAAGAAATGACTTTATTCCAATAATTACTACCTTTTGTAATTAAAACTTTTAAAATATTTATTTGTCTGCTTACGGCAGCAGTTTAAGTGTCCGTAAGGATGTCTTAAGCAAGTCATAACAAAAATATTTTTTATATAGGGCCATCGGCAAAAAATACAGGGCTGGAGGACAAATATTGATTCCAAGCTTTTTATTTATTTGAAAAAGTTTTTATATACATAATTGTATTCTCTTTAAAAAATTTAATTACAGTTTTATCTGTTTATAAAGCTAAAACCCCCTTTTGTTTATACAATAACAATCCCAACACAATCGTTATTGTATGATTAAGGTTATGCAATAGTTGTTGGAGAAGTCAAATGTTAAGATCTTAACACAACTGTTAATTATACTTTTGAAAAATAGTATTAATTTTCAGATATATTAGGGAAGGGATTACGTGAAAGTAATAAGAGTTTTATGAAAATAACAAGATCTATCAAGTTTCATCTTTTAAAAAATTTTTATGCTCGTTTTTATACCTTTCTTTTCTGTCGCAAAGATTTTTTTGTCATTTTTTGTCATAAAAATTTTGTAATTTTGTAATTTTTTTGTCATAAAAATTAAATTAACCTACATGCTTACATTCAATTTCGGGGAAGCCAAACGTGTAAGTCCAATTTGGTACATTTTTAAAAGGATAATATTTTTTAAATATGCTAGTTCACCACAAGTTACAGGGTTATTCATTCTTATATGCGCCTTTATTCATTCTTATATGCGCATTTATTCATTTTTATATGCGCCTTTATTCATTCTTATATGCGCATTTATTCATTTTTATATGCGCCTTTATTCATTCTTATATGCGCATTTATTCATTTTTATATGCGCATTTATTCATTCTTATATGCGTTTTACAAAAGTAATTGTAAAAAAGCAATTTGAACAAAAAAAAATCATTTAAGAAGTTTGATTTGAAAAAACAGTTTATTTTTTCAAAACAAATTTAACTTATTTCCAGGTAAACGAGGTTAAAAATACTTAAAACAAAGACTTTTTACATTCGATGATGGTTTATTTACAGGGTTATTCATTCTTATATGCGCGTCTATTCATTTTTATATGTGCCTTTATTCATTCTTATATGTGCATTTATTCATTTTTATATGCGCCTTTATTCATTCTTATATGAGCATTTATTCATTTTTATATGCACATTTATTCATTTTCATATGCGCCTTTATTCATTTTTATATGCGCATTTATTCATTCTTATATGCGTATTTATTCACTTATATGCGCGTTTGTATATGCGTCAACCGCCCATAACATCTCTAATATAATTTAATATAAACGATAAATACACTTTTAAATTTTTATACAGATATATTTAAAATATAAATTAGGTTGTTTTCATTGTTATTTATTTAAGAAATGGTTGCCGAGCCAGCGCTTGATTTATATAACTACGCGTATGGTTGTAAAATGGAACTATATTAAACTCTGTAGTATCCATAATATTTTTAAGTTTCCTGATTACCTCATCTGTATTTCAAGACCTTTCTCCCTATTTGTAAGTATGTTTTAAAGAAGAAGAAAATTCTTCTATTGAATTAAGCTGTGGCATGTATGCTGGCAGATACTTAATAGCTATACCGTGAGAGGCTAGTGTTTGCCTAACAGAAAGACTCCAGTGCAATTTACAATTGTCCATAACAAGCACCGGCGCTTCCACATTTGTATTCCTAATCGCTGGTGCCATCATTATAGTTATAAAAGTACAAAATGAATCTGCATTCCAGCCTCCAGTTTTTGTTTCATAAGCAAGCACTCCCATTGTTGAAACAGCACAAATTAAACTAACATTCTTGTCACGATTTGCAGGTGACTGTTAGTGTGCTGTTAGTGTGCACATTAAATTCAGTTTCATTCAAATAAATAAGTTTTTCATCTGAAATTCCGTTAATTTTGCTTACAAATGCATAGCGTGCATTAATAATTTGTGTTGAATTTCGTTCTTCTGGCATATGCACAACACGTTTTCTTAATAAATCCGAGCGTTTTAGTTTTCTTGAAATAGTAGGCTGAGACATGTTGAAGCCTGCTGCAGAATAATTTTCTTTTATTGCTTCTTGCGAGCAAAGATTGTTTTTTTGTACGCATAATTCGATAATATTTTTTTTTTGAGCGTTTATAGGTCTTTCACCTCGTTTTTTATCAGAAGACGACTTGAATGCAGTCATGTCGTCGAATTCTCCTCTGTTTAACTTAACGACAAGATTTTGAACTGTGCGCTTCAATAAATTAAGAGAAGTGGAAATGCTTGTTGTCGATTGATTTCTTTCAACTAAATGCTTAAGCATTTCAATTTGCTTTTTTGTAACATTTTTCCTTGTTTTACAATTATTTTCTATTCCATCCAGAGGGTAAAAATTTTATACTAATAATTATAAATAATTAAATAATAAATCTAGAAATATAAGTAATTAGATAAAAAATAGCTTAATCAATCAAGAAATTTAATACAATAATACAATTTAATACAATGTAATAAAATTAAACTACAGGGTTATTCATTCTTATATGCGCGTCTATTCATTTTTATATGCGCCTTTATTCATTCTTATATGCGCATTTATTCATTTTTATATGCGTCTTTATTCTTGAAATAGTAGACTGAGACATGCTAATGCCTGCTGCAGAATGATATTTTTTTATTGCTTCTTGCGTGCAAAGATTGTTTTCTTGTACGCATAATTCAATAATATTTTTTATTTGAGAGTTTATAGGTTGTTTACCTCATTTTTTATCAGAAAATGACAGAATGCAGCCTCGTTGTTGAATTCTCCTCTGTTTAACTTAACGACAAAATTTTGAACTGCGTGCTTCGATAAATTAAGAGAAGTGGAAATGCTTGTTGTAGATTGATTTCTTTCAATTAAATGCTTAAGCATTTCAATGTGCTCTTTTGTAACATTTTTCCTTGTTTTACGATTGGTACTGCTATTTTCTATTCCACCCATAGGGTTGTATAATTTGGTATTAATAATAATTATAAATAATTAAATTTAAATCTAGATAAATGAATAATTAGATGAATAATAACTTAATTAATCAAGAAATTTAATAATAAAATTACAAAGAACTAATACTAAATTAAATAAACCATCGTCGTATGTAAAAAGTCTTCGTTTTAAGTATTTTTAACCTCGTTTACCTGGAAATAAGAAAAATTTGTTTTGAAAAAATAAACTGTTTTTTCAAAACAAATTGCTCAAATGATTTTTTTTTGTTCAAATTGCTTTTTTACAATTGCTTTTGTAAAACGCATATAAGAATGAATAAAGGCGCATATAAAAATGAATAAATGCGCATATAAGAATGAATAAATGTGCATATAAGAATGAATAAAGGCGCATATAAAAATGAATAAATGCGCATATAAAAATGAATAAAGGCGCATATAAAAATGAATAGACGCGCATATAAGAATAAATAACCCTGTAATTTAGTATTAGTTCTTTGTAATTTTATTACTAAATTTTATTACTAAATTTTATTACTAAATTTTAATACTAAATTTTAATTTACTAAATTTTAATACTAAATTTTATTACTAAATTACTAAACAAGGAAAATTTTATTACTTTTTATTACTTTCTTGATTGATTAAGTTATTATTTATCTACAGGGTTATTCATTCTTATATGCGCATTTATTCATTTTTATATGCGCCTTTATTCATTTTTTTATGCGCCTTTAATCATTCTTATATGCGCATTTATTCATTTTTATGTGCGCCTTTATTCATTCTTATATGCGTTTTACAAAAGCAATTGTAAAAAAGCAATTTGAACAAAAAAAAATCATTTAAGCAATTTGTTTTGAAAAAACAGTTTATTTTTTCAAAACAAATTTTTCTTATTTCCAGGTAAACGAGGTTAAAAATACTTAAAACGAAGACTTTTTACATACGACGATGGTTTATTTAATTTAATATTAGTTCTTTGTTTTCGTAATTACATTACTAAAATGAATAAAATTCTAATCTTTGAGAAAATGACTCTTATTCACTGTGCCCCTCGATCTACTGTACCCCAACTTCCACTACCTGAAAAATTAATATGTAAGTAGCTAAAACACCAAAGGGCGTTTAAATTGGCTCTTTACTTACAGAGAAATGTTTTTCTAATGTAACTTTCTAAAACAGGGTGTTTTGAATAATTTTCTTTTTTAAACATATAAAAATAGCGGTGTTATAAAAAATATTATTCATCAAAAAATTTATTAAACAAAAAACACGATTTAATTTTAAATTGATTTAAATACGAGTGGTGTTGCGTGGTATTATGTTGCAATGTAAAAAAGCTTTACAATTTGAACATGCAACGATTCTTTTTATCAACAAACCAATTACAATTAATTAATCAACAGCCTTTTCTTTAACTAATAATATTATTGTATAGTTGCGTACAAATGAGGTTTTCTGAGAACCTTTTAATGTGTTGTTAAAAACCACATTAAACTTATTTAAAGACTTTATGAATAACTATTAATATAATGATGTCTTTAATAATTATATTAACATTACGTAAGTAAATTTTGTCTCAAAATTTACGTAAGTAAATTTTTGAGATAAAATAGGGTTTTAATTATAATACATTATAATTATTAAAACGCAATAATTTTGGTTGAAATAATTACTAACAGCAATTTAAATCTCATCTGTAAAATAAATTATTACAAAACAATTGGTAATATGACATAATAATAATGGTATTGAACCAGAGTACATTATATCGATCGAACTTAGCACAACTTATATATCCAAAAGTGCACCTGTTTAGTATATTTTTGGTAGTGTCATAATATTTTCATAATAATTTAAATTTTAAATATTTTTATAATATTTTGTATTATAATGCTTAATATTAAATTATCTTTAATATTATTCTCTATTGTGGTATAAATAAAAACATACTTAAGTGCCAAACATTAGTTTGTTCTTGCTTATCACATGAGAATGTTTAGAAAAAGATTGGAACAACCACCTCATTAGACGAAGGTGTAAACTTTACAAAATTATACCTTTTAATAAAATCATTACTAATTTGTTGCCTTCACATTTAGAGTAGAGATGGTAAATGTTTAGGGTATATTGTATCCAGGCTTACGTGACCAAGGTGCCCAATTTCTGTTTCTCTGGAACAATAACTTTTCTAAAAAAAAAACAAAAAAAAACTCATTAAATATATCTTAAATGTTTCTCCTAAACCTTGCGGCTCTAGGTTCAGTTGCTTGTGGGACCATAAGTTTTGCTTATACTGGCATTGCGGTAGCTAGGCCACTGATACTACATGCAGATAAAGATATTTACATGAAAAGTTCTAAATTTTTTAAGTCCTTACGGTCTTCGCACAGAGCACCGCTTATGAGCATTTAATTGAAAGTTCATGCCTTCTTCCTAACCGATGTCGCAAAGCATTCCTAGAAATGGGGTTTGAACCATGGATTCTTTGTTTCTTAGGCAAGTGCACTACCAATGCGCCACGGCTGCTCAAATCTCAAAATAATTAAACATAAAAGTACCGTAGTTGTTTAAACCAAGACTTTTAGAGTCAAAGGATATTCTTGAGCAGGTGGACTTTTTTAGTATCAAAGTGGCATCAAATCTTTACAAAATTAAAGCGTCCTCTGAAAATGTTCAGAGCTCTTTATTCTTCAAGGCATGGTGTTATAGCCCCGATAATTCAGGACAAGTTTAAACTTTCTCTCCTTAGTTTTTAAATAATAAATTCATTTACGCAAAAACTTGTAAAAAGGACTAACAATTATGCCAATTAATTTTCTTTCAAATAAACTACCCTTTCTGAGTCTCCCATGGGTATATGCGTCTTCTGTTAACATCCTTTTTTTCAGCTTTGTCCAGACCTTTCAAATGGTTGGCCAGAGAGTGAACATTGTTGAGACGGTTCGCTTCAGAGAATGTTTATTATAGCCAAAACTATCATGACCGGAACTAGAGAGTTTTAATCATGGGCGGAACCCTATTATTGATTTTTTCAAACTTTACATGAAAGAAATATTTAAAACTGCGCAAATCGAATGTTGGGGAAAACTAAATGTCTTATGCCTTATTTTTTAAAATTTTACTTTTTTGCATTACTTTTGTACAAGATCATGTCAAAGTTATTGTAATATATAAGTAAATTTATTTACTTACTTTATAGAAATTACTTTTAATTTACTTTACAAATTATATAAAATGTAAGTTTATGTAATTTAAACTTTATTTTATATAACTTATTTTTAATAAAGACTTGTTATTACTTTTAATAAAGAAAATTCCTACTTAAAAAATATTATTTTTTTTGTAAATTTAATTTACATTTGCTTGCTACATATAAAAGTAAATTACATAAAAGTAATATACTTTTATGTAATTTACTTTTATATGTAAGTTACTTTTTAATATAATTTTTTTTAATTAGTTACTTTTAAAGGTAAATTACAGTTTGAGTAACTTTTATATTATGTAAAAAAATTTTCAAAAGTAATTAACTTTTAAATGTAAAAGTAAACAGCTTTTTCACGTGACTTACTTTTACATGTAAAAGTAAATTTTTTTTTGGTGTAATCTTTTTTTACATAACTTACTTTTGAAAGTAAAAAAACTTACATTATAATATAAAAGTCGTTTCAAAAAAATTAATTGCTTATACGGAAATGTAAATTTACATAAAACGTTTAAAATTACTTATGTAATTTACTTTTTGAAAGATTGTTTTACTCGTATAAGTAAAAAAAAAGTAAGTAAAAGAGCCAACCCTAGGTATGAGTATGGTTATAAAAATAAAAAATCTCTTATGTTGTGTTTTTGTGATTGTTTAAAAAATGATTAAGTTTAATAGGTTTCCTCAATTATTCTAATGATTTTACTTTTTTACCTAAATTGTCTAGACTATAGACTTAATTGTACTTATGGTTTTACTCTCAATTATTCTTATAGTTTTTCTTTTTTTTTCTTAAATTGTTTAAAATATAACTAGAATAAGTCCTTTTTAAAGTGCTGTTTTTTTTGTATGTTTTTTTTTACTATTTGTGGTATATCTAAGAAAAAAATATAGGTATATATACAAATATATACTGACATAAAACACATTTTTGATTGTTATTATGAAAAAAATAGCTATAACTAATCCAAAATGAAGTAGCCTGTAAAAATAAAGAAGTAGCCTGTAAAAATGAAGGAGTAGCCTGTAAAGAAGAAATCCTAAAAAGACCTCTGGATTTGGTTTTAGCACTGTTGAGAGTTTAAGATTCCACCAGGTGTACAATTTTTTTTCAGATTTACCCAAACCTATTATAATATCTTTAATATTATTAGCAATCTAGTTTTAAGGAGTCATATAATAATAAAATGATGTTATATCTCTAATATTGAGTAAAATTTTAAATTATAATATTAATCAGTAAAAATTTTGCAATTTTTATTTTAGTAACATGTCATATCTTAAATCCTGTTGTTGAAATAAATTACATTTCTTTACCACCGTTTGTAAGTTCAAATAAGTCCTCACAATTTCCACCTGAAGGTATAATGATTGCACCAACAGAACATTCCTTGAAACAATGCGCTGGTATTTGTTCCTCTTTTTCTGAAAACATTTCTTTTGCTTATACAAAAGTACAAAAAACTAGTTTAGAGTTTGTTAAAATGAGTTCAAATAAAATCAAACTTCCTGTCACAGTACCTGTACAAGTTTATAATAGTTCTTATTCGTCAACAGTACAACTTTCAGGTTTTGTATTTTTGTTTATTCCAAGTAACACATCTGTTCAGTTAGCTGAAAATGAACAAATAGTTTTTAAAAATACTGCAAGTAGTTTGGCAACACTTGTAATCTACATTTTGTTAAATTGTTTATTTGGTGTCATCTTGTTTTATTGTGTAAGTATATAATCAAATATTTAGATTGTATTATTATATATATTAAAATAACTTATATTATATTATACACACAGATAATAAAACAAACAGATAACTAATTGTTAAAAAAATAAAATTATATTAAATTAAATTAAAGTTATAACTTAAGTAAGTTATAGCTTTTATTTTTTAACATGATCAAAATCTTTTTGTTCATTTTTTAGCAATATCAAAATTCTCAAAGAAAAAGTCATTGTTTTACTTTGAGTGGTATATTTGAAGAAATATACTTTTCTATTGTTACTATTACGACTGTTGGGTATATAAAACCTTTTTTGTAATATTGTTTTTATTGAAAGAAAGTATAATTTTTAATATATTTAAAATCTAATTACTTCTTATGAAAATTTAAAATGTTTTTATTAAGTTATGGTGACAAGATTCCTTTAACATTTTGTGGCAGAGTGTTATTAATAATTTGGACATTTATGGGTATTGTCTTAACTTCAATATGTGTTGGAAATATAATTTCAGCTCTGACAGTTGATGTTGTTAGTTCAGTCATTGATTTATATCCAAAATATAGTGTGAGTTTTTTACAAAAAAAAATTTTTGTTATTCACCATATTACTACATATTAACTTCATGTTATATATATATATGTATGTGTGTATATATATGTGTATATATATATGTGTGTGTGTATATATATGTGTGTGTTATATATGTGTGTGTTATATATGTGTTTGTTATATATGTGCGTGTGTATATATATATATATATATATATATATATATATATATATATATATATATTATATATATATATATATATATATATATATATATATATATATATATATATATATTTATATATATATATACATATATATACATATATATACATATATATATGTATATTCATTTCATTTTTTTATTTCAAAAATGAACTTTTCAGTTCATTTTTGAAAGGAAAAATAATTGAATGGAAAAACGTTTTAACCTAGAAGAATGCTTTTAAAGTCTAGAAGGATCCTAATCTGAAATCTTTTAGAAAGTTTATGTGGTGTATATATATATGGTTTACAGGATCATGGTAAATAAGGTTAACACGTCATATAGGCCAAAGTGGGTGATATATTGACTCCTCCCAAACTTAATGAATTATAAAATACACAGTTGCAGTCTTAAGAATTTTTCCGCATAGAGAGTCATATATGATACAATTTAAACTTAAAGATTGTTATGGTTACAAACAATTTTAACTTTATATTTTGATAAGATAATTTAATTCCTAATAATTTATTTTCAAGCCCAAACATTAAGTTTGCTAACAATTTTGATTTATAAACTCTATCTATTTCTAAATCAACAAAAATTATCTATTTCTAAACTATGAAAATGGCAAGTGGAAGAGCTATACACTGTTAAAAGTTAAAAAAATTGTGGAAAGAGGTTAAGAATATGTACAGAAAATTTCTTAGTCATTTAGTCAAGAGATTTTCTGGAAACTGCAAAGATGTTTTTGATTTTCATCAAGAATATTTTTGATTGTTGTACATTAAAGATTTTTTTCCAGGAGTCATAAAATCGTCCGCTGAGAATTGGAGTGTTCTAAGTCCACAAAAGCTAGTTTGGAGATAATCAAGTTTGAAAGTTCAACAGTGCTCAAATTGTACTTTATTAAACAATTGTGTTGTTTGGGGCCATTTATTTATTTAAACAGAAGTAAAGATTGTAAAAAAATACATAATTCCAATAAAAAAAAATTATAAGGTCGTTAAACGGTTGACCATTTGGATCATTATAATTCCGAAAATTTTTAAAGTTAAAAAAATATTTGTTCTAAGTCCATTTTTTTTACTGATACTTTGATAAACAATACCTTATTTTAATGAAAATTCTCAAAACTCAAAAGCTAGGAGAGGGATTGAATGGATTTAGCATAAACGGGATATTAGAATGGCTTTCAATACCAGTTCAAAATATTTATCGACAATTAAACGAAAAATGCATTCAAATGTTCACAGAATTTGTATTTTTAAGTTTCTTAACATGTTTTTGGTTACAAAATTGTCGCAAAAAACTGGCGATCAATGAGCAGCATGTACTTCAACATTGAGCTTAAATCTTTTTTCTTCTCAGCAGTCATCACTGGTTTGATTGATATCGTGGATACAGTCGGCCGAGCGTCACGAGGAATCTTACCGCGAGCAGGTTTTTGCCCCAGATGAACGTTTGTTTGTTCATCCAAAAACGTCCGTTTGTATTTTATGTGCAGCAAATTGGTAGAAACGATTTTGCTATACTTGATTAGCGTGTAAGGCACTTGGTCGTAATTGTAGAATTTGCTAATTTTTTGGAAGTCAAAAAAGTCTGCTGATTTCATTTGAAGGATTCGTAGTTTGCCTGTCTTTTCACCTAGGGCACGTTAATTTCTTAATACCGACACTGGACTGAACACTTCAGAATAATGCAGACTCTTTTCAATAAAACTGTGAATGGCGTCGACCTCCTGCACGTGCCTGTGGCCAGGCTCTAAGTACTTTTGCTCGATGCTTTCAATTTGTGGGTTTAGTCTCATAAAATGTTCCAGACCGTAAGACATGATGCTGTTCTTGTTTTGTGGGACACAAGAATCCGACCACAAGATGATTTTCTTAATTTCCGGGTGCCTCAAAATGATTTCCGTAAGAATTTTAAGTAGAGCACTGCAGATATGATTTCCAGCGCAACCACACAGCATCTCGTGCCAAACGGCGCAATATGTAACATTGTCTAGCGAGCAGTGGCCAATTAAGTTATACATATTGAGCTTTCTCTTGTAGAAAAAATTTGAAACGTTGGCTTTTGGCAAAGCCATTACATTTTCCATGTCAAAGGATACAACCGCAACGGTAGGGTCAATTCCATTTTTGTGATTTTTCCTGTCCCTATCGCGCTCTTCCTTGCACTCTAGCTTTTTAGAAAAGTGGTCCAGATATTTGAGTTCCTCCTCTTCGGACGGTGTTGGAATCAGTTTCATTTCTTCGCAGTAATCACAGCGATCTTTCTTCGGTTTGTGAAAAGCGTTGTTAAATTTTGTGTTGAAAATATCTCTGTATTTGCTTTCAGTAGTGACATGATCATTGGTGGGGATTTTTTTATACAGCTGAAACATCTTCTTTAGACTAAGTTCGGTTTCTAAGAACTCTTTCTTTGTATTGGTGCGATTATAGTGGCTCTCCACCCTCGGAAAAGAGTTGACATGGTCACAAATTTGCTGCACAGTTTCCTGAGGCAAGAATTTCTTTTTGTTTCTCCCCTTCTTTGGAGACGTGGCCACTCCACTATCTGGGCTTAAATTGTGGTCAAAAAAATAACTAATTTTTCTAGCACTTATATTGAGAGAATTTAAGAAATAGGTTTTACAAACCTGAATACGTTCGCCACCAACCTCAAAAAAGTACCGGTAGCTAAACTTCTTCTTGCTTTGGTCAGGAGTTTGATGCTGAAGTCGTTCTCGAATTTTGAAATCACATTGCACAAATTTAGAGTAAAAGTGTGCTTTTTTTTGGTCACTAAGCGACCAAACGTCTGAATGAATTTTTTCCCTCTATCGCAACAATGTTGTTTCAACATTTCAGACAACTGTTAATTGGGCATTCCTCTCCTACAGTCTTCTCTTGATGTTTTCGGCCTTAATTGTCAACATACTCCTCACCTGCCTCTTGCAGTCGCTTTTGTACGTTCTGCTTCCAGTTCACTGGCTGCCGAAGTTTTTTTCGTGTAAGAAGCTTTGGAGTCTCCCTGTTAAATAAAGAAACACAAATATAATAATAATAATTAATATAAGTTTTCAATCAAAAAGTGTCATGCTAAAAACGCTTACGTTAGTATTCCATTCACAACCAAATCGGCAGTTTCACCATCAGCACCTTCGACTCTGTTATCGTTCGTATCAGCAGCGGACACAGCATCTTCTTCATCAACCTCATCTGAACCTTCATTTTCGTTCCCGTCTGTGTCGGCAGTCTCATCTACATCAAGCTTGTCTTCATCATCACTACTATCAGAAGGGTCACTACCTTTTTGATGCCAGCTATAAAAAAAACTTCAATTAAAAAAAAAGCTTCCAAACAAAAATAAAACATAACCCTAATCTGTCATGTAAGGTACAATAAATATCTATGTTAAATGCATAAAGAATTAGGTCTGGAAGAGACATGATGGCTTAAACAGATAAAAATTAATAGATTGGTTGATTAACATGAAAGTTTAGTGATACAAATGAGTTTACCTTTCGTCAGAATCAATTTCATCTAAAATAATACGAATCCTGGCCTCTTCAGCTGCCATTTTCGACTTCAGTCGGACAGTCAAAATGTGTTTTACATATATATATATATATATGTACCTAAAACTAACTTTTATATTATATTAGTTTATATATTATACCTACACATGCACACATATATACACATACACACACACATACACACGCATATACACATATACATACATATATACATATACAAAATTATTTTAATCTACAATAAGTAGACAAAAACATAGAAGTTGTTGGTCCCGTTGCACCTACCTCCCTCAAAAGAGGGTGAGGGTGAAATACTATTGTAATTGGCGATATCCAGATAAAATCTGTTTATCTACATGCAACACGAACTCGTCAGCCTCAGAATAAAAATAGAAAGATTGCAGTTAAAAACATGTAACGGTGATTAATGATCTCATAATGAAAATGTGTTTCAAAATGTGTTGGACGGTGCCATTCTATTGGGTGGCGGACATAGACCACTCCAATACTAAACAGGCTTATCGAATTGGACATAGTTTAAACAATTATTGAAGAAAACAAGTGCAAGACTTGACAGATCAATGTGAAACTTATGGACATAGTATGTTGTCAACGATAAAATGCATATAAGTCAAAAAACTCAAAAATGGACATAGAACACTCCAATTCTCAGCGAACGAAATGTTTAAATTTATGAAAAAAGATAATGCTCATGACAAACTTGTGTTTTTTTCTGCATTGTTCAGACATTTGTGAAACTACTCAGCATACTTTTATGCAAAGTTGAGAAATTTTTGCAGTTTGTTATTATGATTTTTGTGAAAAACTGGCTTACCTGTACAAATGCTGTTGATACATCAGTCATTGATTTGAATCTGATTAAAGGTCTCACAAATTCCAACTTGACAAAGAAGTGGGTGAAAGAGCATCACTATTATTGGAAGGCATACCTGTTACCTTAAGTGAAAAAGCTTTTCACTCTCCAAATACCATTAAAGAAAAAATTTATTAAAAGTTTTTTAAAACTAACCAATCTTTACCATTTCAACTTGAAAAGCTTTTCTACATTTTATTCTAAAACTTTTTGTGTAAAAATACACCGTAGAAAGGAATAATCAAATGCTATGCAAAGATTATTGAGTGGTAAAAAATTAGATCTATAGATTTTAGATTGTTTATTTTTGGATGTGTCTTGCAGTTATATATAATATGCACTACTTTTTTATTCACTTTTGTGAATAAATATATAAAAAATAATAAAATTATCACTCCGACTTTCAAATTGATGTTTGGACTAAGAAAAAAATAATATATACTAAGTATTTTTTAAAATATTAAAGTTTTAGAGTTCTCTACTTAGAAAAAGTTTTCATTTTTTTCCGTTTTTAGAAAAAGTTTTCTTTTTTAGCATTTTTGAATAAATGTTAACAAATATTTCCCACAAGGGGTTGTCTATAAATTATGTCACACTATAAGGAGGGATGGGGTCGGTGGTTTTGTGATGGCTAATACCAGTGTTTCTATTACCCGGCGAAAAAAATTTACCCGGGTAATGGGTAATATAAAATTTATCCGGGTATTACTCAGGTATTACTTGGATAATTTTTGTGAAAAAACTAGAGTTAACATTTTGTCTTTTAAAAAGTTATGGCAATTAAAGTCAAACAATTCAAAAGGAGTTTTTCAATACACAAAAATAATATATTTATATATCAGGTCCATAACCAGCCTTTTATTTGGAGGGTGACAAACATTTTACTGCAGCCCACTTCTTTTAAAAGAAATTTAAAATCATTTAATTAAATGCTACAATTAAACACAAATTTCAGGCAATTTTCAATATAATATAGCTGGAAAAAAAAACAACAACAAACATTTGGTCTCAATGATAAATATTCTATTAATTACATTTTTATTAATTCAATTTTACAAACATTTAATATATTTAAATATGTAAAAATTCTGTGATAGGGGGAGGGGGAAGGTGAGTTTTAGATTTAACAAAAAAGCTTTAATAACAGAACACAATGAAGAGGTTTTATTGTTAAGCTACATTTTTTTGATACCTTTTTTGTAGAACTGTCGTATTAAGATCAAAGCTTCTAGAGTATCATCTTCTAATCTATTTCTAATTTTTGTGGCAAACAATCCCATTGCTGAAAAAGCTGTTTTTGGCTCCACTGATGTTGGTTTAATTGTTAATAAAGCTTTAAAAAGTTTTTCAAGGTTTGGAGGCCTTGCACAGGTAGTTTCAAATAAAGTCATCTATTTCTTTAAAATCATAATACCAATTTTATATACAGGATTAGCTTAATGCTGTTTCTCTTGGATGAATGAAGTAAATTCTTCTGATAGAGATTGCTTTTTTTTTAATATTTAATGCTTAATCTGCTATAATTGTTGCCTCAACTTCAAAATCAACTGGTAGTTCTTCGTTAGCTTTCTGTGTATAAAGTCTATTTAAAAGTCATGTAGCTAGAGATATAATTTTACACTTTTTAATTTTTAGACCAAACTGATCTTTTTGCTTTTCCAAATAGTCCAGAGATTTTAGATAATGTGTTAAGTGTACAAGATCGGAGTTTCTTTGCTCTTGAATTCGAAGTTTAAATTTTTCTAGGAGAGCAAGGCTTATTGATGTCTCTTGATCTTTTAGCTTCTTGGAAGCAAAAAGGAACTTTTGAACTCTGGAAATGGCAAAAAGGAACTTTTTGAACTCTGGAACTTTTCTGCAAGTAAAAGATCAGCATCTTCTTTGCTTAAATATTTCACAGCCAATTCAATAGGAGCAAGACTATTGCATAGTTCCTTGATCTTTTCCAATTCTTTATCAGAAACATCAAATTCTTGCTCAAGACAGATCACTTTAACTTTATATCGCTTTACGAACTTTATAAAATCACTGCAACATTTTAATAATGCTATTTCATCTCGTTTTGCAATCTAAAAACAAAGTTTTCTCCACTTCATAGGATTGTATATTTTAAGGTTGAAGATTTTCATCATTCCTCACTGGTGACAGTCTGAAAACTTTAATAATTTTACAAATCTTATCAACAATTGTACCAATATTGGAAACCAAGTTCAGATTGCTGTTTAAATTATCATTTATTCTGCATCTATTTTAATCATAATGAGATTCATCTTCAGTTACATTATCAATTACATTAATCTTATGAGGTGTATAAAGCATATTACATTCACAAAGATGGATTGCATGTGCAAGACAGTTAATGTGAATGGGGCTAGTCTCTTTTCCAAATTTCACCATAACACTTACACCATTGGTAATCATTGCTACAATGTCATTGTCCAAATCTAAGTCGAATTTTAACAACCTTAACTTTACCAGTTGAATGGCTTTTTCAGTTTTCACACTTCCAAGTGGTTGGAATAATCTAAGTGATTGGAAACCATTTAAACCATGTAAATTAAAATTCTTGTAATGACGGTTTCTAACTGATGTAGATGTCAAAACTGATAAAAAAACAACCTCCTTCTTCATGAATTTTTCTAATTCTTTTTTCAATAACAAGGATAGTTTTGCCGTACTCTGTCATAAATTGATCCCTGATGTTTTGTGGACTTTTTAGTAAGGAGTAACCATCTGATTTAAATACATTTTATATTATGTTGATATAAAGAGAGATAATACATAATTGATGTATATATATATATATATATATATATATATATATATATATATATATATATATATATATATATATATATATATATATATATATATATATATATATATTATTACTATTAGAAACTCTGTGAGCAACATATAAATATTTTGATTTAGTTAAGATATGGAGATTTTTTACAGTTGATTTTTTGTAACAAATACCAAGACCAACTACTTGATAGTATAATGAGCTAAATAAACTAGTTCTACACTAAAGCAAATTACACAATACCCATCATCTTTTTACATATGAGATTATTTTAATTTTATAATTCAATATTCTAACTTTAATTTTAAGTTAAAACAAATTTTCAGAAAATTTATTTATTGAGGTTACTTTGTTTGAATTTTGTTGTTTTTTGTGCCAAATCTTTTTCAATTAGTCATTGAATTAAAATTTTCAATTAAGATTTCAATTATAAAGCACTTGAGTTTTTTATAATTCAAATGGTAATAATAATTATAAATATTTTGAAAATTGAAACAAAAAATATTTTCTAACAACTATTGCTTTTTTGGGGTATATTTGTTGAGATTTTGTTCTGCTGATGACAGATATTAATCTACTGAAAAGGGTGACTTAAAATTTGAAGTAAAAACAATTTAAACTAAAATCCTCTAAAAAAGAGCAATAAGACATATTTTTTTGACAATATTATATTAAAACTGAAAGTCTTTATTTTGCTGTGTTTTTGTTTTAATTTAATTATTTTAAGTTAAAAACAAAGCAAGTATCAAAACTATATTTTTTTTCTTTTTATTACAGAAAATATATATATATATATATATATATATATATATATATATATATATATATATATATATATATATATATATATATATATATATATATATATATATATATATATATTATACAAAAATAACATTTTTTCTAGTAATAACAGAATAAATGGCAGAGTATAATAATATGTAAAATGTAATTATTTATGTAATGTAAAAATTAGTTGTAAAGATAAATGATAAAACAATAAACATAACAAATAATAAAAAAAATTTAATTTATAACATTTTTCTAAAGGTTATTGCTAAGTTAGGATCGCCTGAGTATCTATGGGCTAATAAGATATCATCAATAAATCTCATTAAAGGTTTGTAAAATAAAACATATTGTTGATTAAAAGAAATTTCATTATTGTTACCTTTACTAATTTTACAAAATAACAATGTTGTTTTATGAAAAACATTTGAGTAAATGATTAAAAAAATGATTTTTTGATTAAGCAGTTTTTTTTTCTTTTTTTAAATCTGTTTTTTACCTTTTAGATAAGAACTTCTCAAGTCATTCAGATGTTTTAGATGGATTAAAAGAAGGTCAAGCAAAGTATGCTGTTTTTGATCAATACACAATTGAAGCTTATCGAGTTGTTATGATGCAATTTAACATAAAAGTTGCAAAAGTTTTTAATACTGATAATTCTTATTATGGAGGTAGTTTTTCTTCATATTTTTATTTTTTGATTTTACTTAAAGCAATTAAAATAAAATTTAAAACTGATTTTTTTTATTTTTTTTTTAAATATATGCTTAATTAAAGTGATTTATTTTAATATAATTTATTTTTTTAACAAATTCATTCTAAACAAGACTGCAAAAACCACTAATTAATATAACAGAAAACAAAAACAAATAAAAAAAACCTGAAAAGCAAATAGGCATACAGTTTTTTATACCTTCTTTCAAGCAAAGGATTGACAGAAAATGATTGACAGAAAAACTCAAAAAACTGTAAATTGCATTTGTCAGGAAAACATGAAAAGAGTAAAGATTTAAAAGCACAAACTTAAGTGGTAAAATGATGTTAGTGATTAATAAAATATCTTTAAGCATAAAGGAACAGTTAAAGGATGCAATCTGAATAGAGAGTCATGCAAGATTGAATTTTGGTTGACAGAATAAGTGATGACACCTTACCTAAACAGTGATAATAGTAGCTTTTACCCCACCTCCTCTTTTGGAACATCCTTGACTGTTAGTGCATTTAGTGTACATTGTTTAAGCCACATTAAAAGCCCTTTATCACAATTTGATATTAATTAGAGAAACTGAGACAACTGCATAGCTCATACTTGGTATGAGGTATGTATCCCGTTATGTAGCGGTTTGCTATGCAATGTCTACTGTCTATCATGCAATGTCTATGATTAAGTTCTGTTTTAACTTAGAACATGACTAAAATACTTTAAAAAAAATTCTGCAAAATTCATCAGATCTGCTCTTTATAAGACTTATTTAGGTTCAGCTGTTTTATTTTCAGTTATTAATGGTTATTATCCTTTGATTAACAAAGATTCCAATATTCACATGCTTAGTCTTTTTGACTCAAACAACTTTACTTACTCATCTCCTTTTTTGTGTCTTGTCTCTGACCTTAGCTTGTGTTTAGTGTCTTCTCTATCTTGGTTAGGTGGTTCAGATCATGCTATAATCTATTTTTTACTTCTTTAGTTTCACCCTATCATTGTACTACTTACTATTACCATTATGCTGACTTTTTATTTTAAATTTGAACTCACTTTTCAGACAACTTTAATCACTCCTTTTTTGTGTCTTGTCTCTGACCCTAGCTTGTGTTCAGTGTTTTCTTGTTCTTGGTTAGGTGGTTCAGACCGTGCTATGATCTATCTTGTATTTCTTTAGATTCATCCATTAATTTAGATTCATTCATTACACTACTTACTATTACCATTATGCTAACTTTTAAATTATTTTTGTGATTTTCTTTGTGGTTGCCTTTTAGCTAATATCTTTCATCTCTCTGCTAAAATATGTGCCTTCTGCATTAACCCCTGGAAGGTATTCAGGAAGGTATAAAAGTTTTTTTTTTTTTGCTGGTTTCAAATAAAACAAGATGTTGTTCATTTTGCTTGAATTTCTTGCGGGATATTACTCTAGAAATAGTAGACTTAGATAGCTATAGACTGATAGTCATTAGAAAGAATATTGTGTTTTTTCCTTCCTCTTGCATATAAGCTTTGTTTTTGCACTGGACATGTGTCCAATTTTGATAACCTGATGCTAACACTTAAACTTACTAATTTAATTTTCTTTATTTCCCTCAGGCTATTACGACTCAAAGTGTTCCAACCAGTACATGGACCCTGTTCGTGTACAAAATTTTACAAAAATTGTTAACAGTGTTATTAAAAAAATTTTATCTCTAAAACATGGGTTTAATCTTAATACCTCTCTCAAGAATAAAGTTGAATTGTTTTCTAATAACCTTGGCTTTAATTTGACTCTAGTAGTTGCACTCTTCTTGTCACCTAAATTAAACTGCCACTCTTTCTGTCATTCTAGAGAAATAAGTTAAGTTTGTTAGACATCACTCTAGCTTCTGTTGTTAAAGTTATTTTTCTCCTAAACTTATATACTGCTTTTGGTTCAACAATATTCCTGTCAAAGTCTTACAAAAGTGTTCTTCATAATACTCTCTAAACTATTTAATATGTTGTCCTGCATACTGAAAAATGGCATTTGTATTTACAATTTTTAAAAACTCTTGAAAATACTCTGATATCTCTAACTATTGTCCAATCATCTCTCTAAAATTCTGGGGTACCTCAAGGTTATATTCTTGGTCCTGTATTGTTTCTCATTCATTTCAATGACCTTCTTGACTAACTTAAATCTAAAATGGTTCTATTTGCTAATGACACCTGTATACTCCTTTATTTTTTTATCAATTTTTTGACCTCTTTGAACAGGCAGCCATCTTGAATTTAGTCTCTCTTTAACAACTTGAGGTTTACAGCGGCTTGTAAACTTTAATTCTCTCCCATCTTTGTGCTCAAAAAGTTGTTTATCATGGAGAAAAAAAATTTCAGATAACAAATACTTGAAAAAATGTTTTATTAATATGTATAAATATCTTTTGAACAATTCTTAAAATTAAAATGAAATTAACTAACCAACAGTTAAAAAATAAATCATCAATTGAGTTTAGTCAAACTTGGCCAACAATCAACATTTCGGTTCTTATATCCTATTTTTGAGTATTTTACATTTAAATGCAGCTTCAATCTTTATAAAGTCTGTTGAACAACAAAATATTTCTTTGTGTTTTTTTAAAGAAACTCTTTCTGCATTATTAGGATTGCCACCAAATTAGGGAAATCATGGAATTCAGGATAATTCAGGAAAATTTAGATATGATCAGGGGAAGTCAGGGAAAAACGATTGATTTAGTTAAAAATCAGGGAAAGACAGGGAATTTTATTATTTTGTACTTTTATATTTTAATTTTGGAAATGTTATATATTTATTTTTTTGTTAACTGATTAAATAATTATACAGCTCAAAGTTCAAATATATTTTATTTGAACATTATAAAAAAATTAAGTTTTATTCTGGTCATATATTTACAGTATAAACCAAATAAAAGGTTTATGCAAAACATTTTATGTAGGTTTGAATGGAACCATTACCAATAATTTAAATGGATTTATTAGGTGATTTTTTGTGTTGAAATAGCTGCAACATGTGAAGACTTTCAAAGTTTCTTTAAAATCATATTGTATTTTCATTTTTTTTTTTTAGAATAAATAAAAATTTAAAATTTTTAAATGACACTTTATTTTAATAAAGAATGTTTGAGTGATCCATTGTTTAAAAAATGGCTGGTAAATGGCACAGATAAAAAGTCAGTCAAATGCAAAACATGCCAAGTTTAATTCAACTTTTGAAATATAGATCAGAGAGCTGTGATAAGTCACATGGAGGGGAAAAAACATATTCAAAAAGTCAAAACTATCATCCTGCTACTTCAAACCTGCACAATCTACATCTAAAAACCAAAGAGTTCTTATAGTAAAGCGATCTGATAAAACTTGTGCAGGTATCTCTTGCATGCAGTACAAAATAATTTATCATTGAACTTGTGTAATGAGAATGATCTACTATATTAAAAAATGTTTCCTAATAACACAACTGTTAAATCTTATGAAATGGGTAGAAAAAAACTTTTGATTTTTAATTTTGGGTTGGGCATTGTTTACATATACTTTTAACAAAAAATATCAGGAAATCTTTTTTTTATATCTTTTAATTTGATGAAAGCTTAATTGATTCTTTTCAAAATTGTCAAATGGATCTTAGTATTTATTTTTGGAACAATGATGTAAATTGTGTTGAATACAAATACTTTTATTTTCAATACTTGGCTCCCCCCCCCCCTATCCCCGCTTTGTCATCTTTAGCGATGTATATAATATATAGTATTAGGTACGTGACTTATACATGGACTTTTATTTTATCAAGTTTCATTCGAAGATTTTCAAATTGGTTTATTATTATGACCCAATAAGCTTTATTAAGACATGATATATTTAATACTACACTGTGATATTGCTGCTCTTTTGAAAAATGAGAAACCTATAATTCTAATATGGAATTTTTAAAAATAATGTCTAAATAGTATAAAAAAATAAGATTAATTCTATGAGTAGTTTACAAAATGAATTAAGAGCAATCAACGTTGAAAACAACGTATTTATTTGTTTTTAAATGTTATACTACCAGGGTATCCCACAATCCTCTGTAAACAAATTACAAGTTTTTACGCGAGTCGACAGCCCTTGCTCAATATGTGCAATATTAAGAGGAAAAAGCTGGATAACGCGTTTATATATAATTTTTGTATATTTTTGTTCAAAGTTTTCAACTTTGTTACTTTAATCATTCAAACATAATAATATGAATAATAATAGTTCTTGCACTAAAAAAGTTATATTGGATAATTATTTATTATTTAGAAACCTGAAATATCTAGTTTAGTTATGTTAGCGATTATACTCTATTTTATTTGCATAAAATTGTTATTTATTTGTTCATAAATTTATCAAATAAAGATCATGTTTGTTATTTATTTTTGTAAAGATATGGACATGTTGTTGGTTATATGTAAAAATATAATTTCTTTCAAAGTATTATACAGCATATTTTTTTCTTAATTTGCATAATAAACCCATCTGATCAGTCATTGTGTAGACATAATAAACCCATCTGATCAGTCATTGTGTAGACATAATAAACCCATCTGATCAGTCATTGTGTAGACATAATAAACCCATCTGATCAGTCATTGTGTAGACATAATAAACCCATCTGATCAGTCATTGTGTAGACATAATAAACCCATCTGATCAGTCATTGTGTAGACATAATAAACCCATCTGATCAGTCATTGTGTAGACATAATAAAAAATGTTTTTTTAAATTATTTTTTGTGTAGGCATAATAAATTTAAACATTTGAAACTATTTTCCCATGTCTTCCTAAAAATTTTTCAAAGCATTAATTTTAGAAAGATTTTTTTTAAGTTACTTTAATTTATGAATAAGTTCAAAACCTTTTGCGACAACTAGCTTTTACACATTTTATGTGAATTATACAAGAATAAAAATATTTTTATTTACTTATATAAGCATGTATTTTGTTGATTAATGGAAAAGTTTTGAAGCAATTTTTAAAACTTATGATTTTTTAAAATCTTTTAAACAAACATTTTATTTTTTGAAAAACAATTTTTTTTTTCCATTTATGATAGGAATGAATGAGTTGAAATCATTTTATAATTTTTAAATTCGTTAAGTGAAGCGCTTAATAATAAAGTTACAATGCTCAAATTAAAATTAAATTAAATTTTGTTGGCAGTTATTTAATTTAAATCGCAGGCGCATTTTATTTATTTTTGTTTGTGGCCCACATGTAGTCATAGTGCTTTTGTGTGGATTAAAAGTTCAAAAATATATTACAGTTAATGAATGACGTATTTGATGAAGATAAGTGTGGCCCACTTGTGGAACACATAATGCGGTTCACATAACTATTCCACTTAATGTGGCATAATCTTTAAATAAATACGTGCTAAATTTGATGTGGCTATCATATGGGCCATACATATAAAACTCACGTCTATATATGGTACTAGGATGTATATGAGTATAAGAGTATATGAGAATAAGAAAATAAAACTAGTACAAAGTTTAACTTTTTATTTTTTTTAGGGGAGGGAGTCAAAAATTTTGCATGGTCATAACTTTTATACTTATTGAAAAATATATTAGAAAGAAATTTAAAAATTGTTGATGATTTTTAGAAAAAGATAATCAAATTAAAAATTTTACTTTATTGCTCTCAGGTTTGGGCAAGGAGAGAGGGCAAGGAAACATTTTAGGGTACTTTTGTTCCCATCAATTACATATTTTTAGTTTTTAGACATACAAATATAAAAATAATTTGAAATAAAATTAAAAAAATTTTCTTATTTTTAAAAATACTCACAAGTATTTTTAGAAATAAGTATTTTGTACAAAAAATAAAACTTATGATCATATATATATATGTATATATATATATATATATATATATATATATATATATATTATATATATATATATATATATATATATATATATATATATATAATATATTGTAGTATTATCACTGAATTTTTCAAAAGAAGACAAATATGGCGTATGTATTACAGCATTTTAAATACATGTTACACCATTTCTTTTCTGTAATATGTATAAAGAACAACTATATCACCAAATATAAAATCAATGTTGGAACCATTGATTTGTCTCAGACAACCATTCAACTTTACAGGAACCATTTCAAAAAATTTCAGCTTGACTGACAAAACAATAATCAAAACATGAAATGGTTTTCAGTTTGTGCTTTTATTTTTTGAATTGTTTGTTATTCAGTAGTCCTAGGACTACTGAAATATACATACAATGACTACATGCAGTTGAATGACTATGTTCATATGGTGCAAATGCAATGTTGCTAGGCAACAATATCACACTGGCAGGAGTATTTTTTAAATTTTTTAGTTCAGCTGATTCTTGAACATGAGATGAAGTTGAATAATTATTTTCATCCAACAATGGATCTAATATGAAATATGGAGAATTGCCATAAGAGGGATCAAAGTCAGACCACGAGAGATTTTCTTTACAGAAAACTGCAAAAAAATGTTTGCATGGATATATACTATCAAACCAAGAAGGACATGAACAGGTAGGCAAACTAATTCAAAGTAATTGATGAATCTCAAAGTTAATTCCTTTTCTAATTAACATAGTGTCATCAACAAAGAGATTAGAAATTTGTAAACTCTTTATAATCTCAAACCCAGTTGTTAATTCCAGACACTAGATATCAGGCACTGTATCAAAAACTTTAATAAAAGTCGAAATTGCAGATGTCTACTAGAGTGTTTTCTGTTAATAATTTACTCAAAATGTTGATTGTTTCAGCTATATTTATTAAATAAGACTACCCTTTTACTAACTCATACTGATGTTTTATTTATGATTATTTGACATCAGTTTATATATTGCATCAGTTATAATACTTTAGAGGATTTTAGAGACTAAAGTTAAAAATATTGGTCTTGCAATAAGCATGTTTCCTTTTTTGTATTGGGTTATGTTTACCAAGTTCTATTTAAATGGTACTTTTCCAATTGTGAGTGATTTAACAGTCTTTGTGCTTCAGTTTGATCAGGAATGATCTATATATATATATATATATATATATATATATATATATATATATATATATATATATATATATATATATATATATATATATATATATATATATATATATATATATATATATATATATATATTTATATATATATATGTATATATGTATACATATATGTATAAATTTATGGTTCTCTTTTATATATATAAATTTATGGTTAGCAACATATATTAAAGATATCATGTGCTTCTAACTGACACAGAATGAATTTTAACATTAAAACAAAAGAATTGTAAATCTAAAACTACATAAAAAAATTTTATTAATTTTTTTTAATGACAATAAAGAATGCAATGAAAGCTACCAGAGCTGCAAGCAAATTAACAAACATGACAACATGTATATCTCAGACAATGACCAAACGTTAGTATGACTATAGGAAGTTTGCAACAATTGTACAGTAAATTTACTCTAGTGTTGAGTATTACAAAAAGAATGTCGTTTTTTTAGTCGACACTGACGAATATAATCACAATAAAAGTTGTCTAAGAGCACACTAAAGGTGTCACAATGAAATTTACAATGCACAGGATACAGTGTTTTCCGGGCAATCTAAAATAATTGCTGAATTTAATCAGCGCACAAACAAACTAGTAAGTAAACTTTCTGCATTAGATGTACTTGAAAAAACTAGATCTAAGAATCGAAAGATTTTAAAGCATATTCTATTCATTTTATAACAAGTCACTAAAATTTTCATTTAACAACGTGTTTTAGTGTAATAAAAAGCATACAACCCTTATTTTTATTTTTATTCTAACTGCTGTTAATTTTAAATACTCAGAAGACCAGAAAACCAAAAATGCCGAGACGCCAAGAAGTATTTAAACCAGCCCTACGTGTTATTGTAACAAGATTGAAAAAATAACAAATAAATATTTATACCTGGATTTAAAATACCATCAGTAGTAAGTACTGCAATATTCCCATCAGCTAGTCCAAATAAAAACAAACCCCGTGTATGTAATATGCACAATATAGAATCCGAGAATTGCGCTAACTCATGTTTAAAACACTTTACCTTCGCTTCATATAAAGCCACACGACGTTCTTTTGTTCCAACGATAATAAAATGCTTATATGAAATCATACACAGGATTCGTTCAATTTTTGTCATGGTACCTTGTACTCCCTAATAAATAAATATACATATAAATAAATAAGTACATACATGTTTAAAGTTAAATAAAAAAGTGGAAGTTTTAATTTTTAATTTTAATTTTTAAAGTTTTGTAAGTTAAACTTAAAATTTTATTATACTTGCCTACTAATTCAAATCAGATACGTGTAGTATTAGGACTTAAGGAGCAGGAAAAAGTTTTGAATGAAGTATGAAATGCAAATTTTTATTGTCTTTCTAGTTATTAAAATATTTTAAATGTTGATTATTCTTTTGAACTTTTTTTTATTTTTATAATCTTTATGTTTAGCATTAGTTTTTATATTTGTTTCAAATATTTGCTAATTTGAACTGTTTTTTTTTTAAAGGGTTCAAAGTATTTAATCTTTTTTTTTTTTAATCAAACAAATTATTGATTTTCTATTTAAACAGAAATATAAAAATTTCTTATATATAGAAAGCGGGCAATCTGTTTTGTTTGGGGTAAAAATAGCGTGTCTGGGGGTTAATGCCGAAGTTTCAATGCTAAGTTATTGAGTATAAATGATAGAAATGTCAAGGGAAGATAAGCAAAATTTTATTTAAAAAATCAGCGAAAATCAGGGAATTTTATTTTAGAATTATAGTAGCAACCCTCATTATCAACACATCCTAAAATAGACCAAATCAATGTTGGTAAAAACTTAATGAAAATAGAAGTATTTGATTCTTTAAAAAAAAATATGAATGCTGAATTGTATGTATTTGAATGTATTTGAAATTTGAAATATAGTACAACAGATACTGTAAAAACAGCTTTTAGTATAGATTGCTGGTCTTCATTTTCAGAACTGGTTATGAAGATCTTGACACTGATACATATTCATATATATATAATATATATTCATGCATATAGTGTATAATGCTGATCTTCAATTTAAGGAGTGGTCTTGATACAAATTTATATTTGTATTGCAGTTGCATGTTGCATATCCAATGACTTAGATTGAGATGATTTAACAAAGTCATTTTGTATTTTTTGGGTTATTTTAAGAATGTCTTATGTAAAAATTTATAAAATCTAATAAAGTTGAATGTTTTTTTAAATAATTACTCAAAACTAAATGCTTCACCCTATTACAGTAAAAAAAAACAAGGCATAAAAAATTTTAAAACTAAGTGATTAGATTAAAAACCTGTTTTTGATGTTTGTTTAAAAAAATTCTTTTAAATGAAACTCTATTGAGCTTATAACTTTCTGTTAAAATATATAAAGCAATTTTGCTCCGAGTATTTTTATTAAGAAATCAATTAATTTTTTAAACTAGTTTAACAAACCAAAACAAAGTGTTTATAAAATCGGACTCCTGTTTTCAAATTGCACAGAGTAACATCCTTTGGTTTTAGATAGCTGTGTGTTAATACACAAAAAAAAAAATTAAAATTTCACAACATAATCTGATTAATGTTACAAAAACTATTCAGCAAAGTTTCTAAAAATTTTTACAAGTAAAGTTTAATTGAAATTTTTTTTTAATTTGTTTTTAATTTTTGTCAGTTTTTTTTTTAGTGTCATTGGGTGGAAATTATTCTCTACTTCAATCTTGCATGAATGGTTTATTAAAAAACAGCTCGGCTATGGTTGCTTCTGCAATGTATGATTTTAAAATGGTAAGTTTATAAATATTATTTTGGCTTTTAGAGAGAATTCAAAGAGTTAATGTTCAATACAAAAGCCGCTATTGAAAGAATTTTTAACATAATATAGTATTTATTGAATGGTACCAATAAATATCACAATAGAAGGACTAGAATATAATTTTTTAAGGGTCAAGTTTACATATATATATATATATATATATATATATATATATATAAATATATATATATATATATATATATATATATATATATATATATATATATATATATATATATATATATAATTTAAATGAAAAAAATACAACTTTTTATGGAACTATTAGTTTCATGCCATTCGGCAATCATTCAGTCATTTTTTTTCTTAGCATTGCAACGGTATCTGACGTCAAGTTTACGTTGGACGATATCATGAGTCCTAATCCCTGGTATCAAATTGTGAAAGCAGAAATTTTTTTCTATGCCTGCAAGAAGAAAGTAACTCACTTTTTTTATTAAGTAATGATCCTTGATCATATGTCATAATTAAATACTTTTCATATAAAGAAAGATTACATCTTTTAGTTGATGGATTATATGATTGACACTTTTTAATAATGTTCCACTTGATTAACGGCATAATACCTGCATTTTTATGTTTCCATATTTCTTTAGAAAGTTCTGTATCGTTTTTGTATCTAGTAGCGTTAAATGATTTTAAATGGTTTGCAAACCTAAGTTTCACTGATACCAATATATGATTTTTCATAATTTCTAGGGTTAGCTAAAGATATAGTGGCTTTATACACGACATATTTAGATAAGCATTGATTATTTAAAGGGCATGAAGGTTTATTAATACAGTTGCAGTTGGTGACACAAGCAGTGGGTTTATTGTGTAATATTTTTTGGTCGTGTGAATTAATTATTGATCCAACATTCGGCATGCAGCGGTAACTAATTTTGATTGTATTTCTGTTAAATATCTTGTGGAACTTATGATGAAGAGGAAAATGCAAGTCAATTAACTTAAGAAAAAGGTGTCCTATTTTGGTGACAACGTTTTTGCTGAACGGAGGATTAAACCATATGATGTTTCTCTTTTGCTTATTAGTATTATTTGGGCCTACATATGGATGGTTTTGTATGTTGTTTCTAAATCCAGACTTTTTTAATCCATCTTTATAAATAGGGGCAGTATTATTAAAAAATTGCTTTGCTGGAAGAATTGGTTGATAACCTACGCTCAATTGAAGTTGGTAACTGTTTTAAAATATTAGGTGGATATAATTTAACGTACTATCAGATTTGCGGTATGGTTGGAAACTACTGTTGTTAAGGTTAAATGTTACATCTAGGTAATTAGCAATTTTCATATTAGTTCGAATAGAAATACTAAGGTTGTTTTGCTTAAATATTTGCGTGAAAATTTTCTCCATTTTAGGACTGCTTGCATTTTTGAACACAGCTAAGCCATCATCTCTATACAACCCCAAATCATGCTTGCTATAAAATTGGGAGATTTGGAAGAGAAGGAAAATTCCAACTAGTTCACAAACCTCCACATCATCAAATGCACCCATGGTTACATCAAACAAACCACTCGATTTCTTTATCCAAACTTGGTCGTTGGTAAATAATAATGTTTTTCATGCGTGAAGAATTAAAGATTTATGGTCAGTAGCGATGGTAACATATTGCTCTAAATATAATAAGTAATAGAATAAATAGAATAAATTTTGAATAATATGGCTGAATGATTGCCGAATGGCATGAAACTAATAGTTCCATAAAAAGTTGTATTTTTTTCATTTAAAATATATAAATATAATTCGATCTATTTTACAAAGAAATATTGATCACTCTTAAGCAGACAAGAGCTGTATTTTTAACAAAATACTATACCTATCAAAAATTAAATATATCTATATATATATATATATATATATATATATATATATATATATATATATATATATATATATATATATATATATATATATATATATATATATATATATATATATATATATATATATATATATATATATATATATATATGTATATATATATATATATATATATATATATATATTCATATATATATATATGTATATATATATATATATATATATATATATTCATATATATATATATATATATATGTATTTATAAATATATATATACATATGTATATATATATATTTATATATATTTATAAATTAGTAAAAACTTTTTATTCTTCGACAGCTTGTTTCTCTATCAGGAAGTTCATCAGTATGTTCATCTTCCTGATGAACCTACTGATGGAGAAATAAGCTGTCAAAGAATAAAAACTAGATAAGTGTTTTTGCTAATTTAATATTACTCTGTTCTTTAAGAACATTGAGCACTCTATTTGTAAAATACACTAACATAAATATATATATATATATATATATATATATATATATATATATATATATATATATATATATATATATATATATATATATATATATGTATATATATATATATATATATATATATATATATATATATATATATATATATATATATATATATATATATATATATATATATATATATATATATATATATATATATATATACAAAACAAGTTTTTGTTAAAAATCTGTGAAAAGTTTGAAAATTAAAAATTGATACATCCAAGTTTTGTTGAGTTCAGATATTACAAACACTTTTTGTATTGTTACAAATTTAATATTTTTTATTTTTATATATTGCGTTTTGTGCTAAAGTGGCGCATATCATAGAAAATGATGACGAGAAAGTAACCAAAAAAAAGTTTACAATATTTTTCTAGTGCTCTAATCTTAGGAAAGAAGCTTAAAAATAAAAAACCTAAATATACTTGAAAAAATCATAGTTAAGTTTTCCAAAAGCAAAGGATGTTTTCAAATTTGTATGTAGCCGTGAATAATTTCTTAAAACAAAAGTTAAAACAAAAGACAAACATCAGTTGCCATGATATGATCTTTTTTATTTTAAAACCAATACAAAATGATGACCAGCAAGAAAGAATGTTGAAGATGTGACTGCTTGTATCAAAATCAGCCATATTATTTATCATTAATAACAAGTCTTTTTTCACTTTAGCTCTTAATAAAATCAATTTCATTTTTTATTCGTGTACTGTTAATCTAACTTCAACTTAACTAAAATATAGAAAACCAATGCTTGTGCATTTCAGAAAGAGGTGTCAAAACTGTACTTTGTCTTCAGCGATCTTACAAAATCTTTATTTAGGTTGCATCAAAAACAAACTTTTTAGTTAAAAATATCATACTGATGACAAATGCTTATTTTGGTTTCATTGCATTATGCCAAAACAATGACATAATTCTTTAAAAAGAGTTGCATAAATAATGTGGTTAAAGCGAATAACCTGTCAAACATCCCAGAACGTCTTTGAATTAAGGATTTCTTGAGTATTTTAAAAAGAAAAGTCTCTGCAAAGAACTGGTAAAAAAATCTAAAACAACTTTGTATAAGGATAAATATCAACTTTTCCTTGAATTTATAGAATCAGAAATGATATAACAATTGAAGAAAAATAATATTGAAACTAATAAATAAATAAATATTCTATATAAATATATTTTAATTCAATTTGTAGCTAAAAAACATAGGGAGTAATAGCAATTTATAATTTTTACAGATTTTTATTAAATACGCCTTATGTATTGCACTGATAGCATTATATTTTTTAGATAAAGTTCAACTTTTATCATTATTGGTTTTAAGTAGGGCTGAGACAGCGTTTTTTGGTGACTAAAGTAAGTAAAAAAATGGTTTCATTAAGCACAAACTTTGCTTACACAACCACAGCACAAAGCAAATTTATTTTTTTGTGAAAATAGAACAACTTTTTTCATTTTCGTCATTATGATCAGGTAAAAACAAAAATTATATAAGGAATTGACAAACACAGTTAGAAACCACTCAACAAGCTTCAGAAATGTTTAGGTTTTCTTTATTTAGGATTGTACTGTGAATCACTCTTTCAAAGTAGCCCCAAAATGTAGTTGTTATACTGTCGTTGGTAATGACGGAGGTATTGAAATGCTGCTGACTCCTTAGCAAAATCAGTGATAAATTGCTTAATGAGGCCTAAATTGATGTGCATTAGGAACAGAACTATTGTGAAAGTTGTTACATAGTGTTATATATATATATATATATATATATATATATATATATATATATATATATATATATATATATATATATATATATATATATATATATATATATATATATATATATATATATATATATATATATAAAATTCCCACTAAATAAGTTTTATAAATTGAGATTTGCATTAACTTAATGATTAATGCAAATCTCAATTTGATTATAATTTTTGTAATGTTTTAATACAATAATATAACATTGTATAAATAATGATAAAAAGATATAATTATTTAAATATAGTTATAAAATTGTAACATTAAATAATAGTTTGATTTTATTAATTTCTATTAATTAATGTTCTAATTATAAAAACTATATAAAAAGAAAATTTATTTTATAGGATGCAATGCAACAATCCAACTCAACACACATGAAGTTAAAAAAAACTCAAATTCAACTTTTTAGTATTCAATCACCAATCTTTAGGATGATGTTGAGTGGCATGGCATATGTTCTACTAAGTCTTTTGATTGCTGGTAGTGTATATGAAATTTTAAGAATAAAGTGGATTAAAAAACCTCGAGTTGCACCCAGTTTAGGTATTTTAAGATAGAAGTTAAAAAAATAGTAATAACTAACTAGTCCAGAATATATTTTTTAATTATCAATAATTAAAATGCATTTATTTATAATACTATGCAATTTTTCAGTTTATTTTTAATGATAACACAATCACTGTAAAATAATTTTCACTGTGTAATACTTTTTATAAAACTTATTTTTTTTTTTTCAAATTTTCAATGCATGTTATTAAACGGGTAGTGCAAAAACATAATTTATTTCATAAGTATTAATAAAATATAGTTTTTTTTTTTTCTAATTAATAACTCTTAGTTTCATAAACTAGTTACGAAATATATTTTTATAATTGTATTAATAATATTATTATATTATAAATTTTTATATATTTTTATAATTAATACATATTGTATTATTAATATTATTATATTATAAATTTTAAATGATTCGATAAACTTTTATGCAGATTTAATAAGAGTAGAGTAAAAATGTTATTAGAGCAGGGGGTTTATTTGAAGGGAGATTCCCTTAAATATGGTATAATATACGGTACAAGTTATCAAACTTCTGGTTTGAAAATTAATAAAAAAAACTTTGAACTTGAAAAAATTAATTATTTGAATAAAAAAATTTATAAAAGGTGATATAGATTTTGATTTTGATTCGGCAAATTACAGTTTTCTAAATGTTTAAAAAATTGTTTATATATTTTTGAGTGTTTTATGTAATATTTTAACTATTTTAGATAAAAAGCTTGCTTACTTACAAGAAATGAAAAATCTTTCTCAAGAATATCTAATTGAATTTCATAATATGATTGAAAGGTTGCAGATAAACACTGAAATACTTCTTTATAAACATGCTGAACAAAGATATAAATTGAGAAATAAATTTTCAAAGTTATACGGGGTAAACTTCAAATATGTAACTCTAAATGATCTTGGTGTGTCCTTGGAGCAGATTGCCGAGTTTAGAGAGGAAATTAAGCGTCGCCCGAAGAAAACTTGCTGGCAAAGATTTTCAGAGTACGCAGTGAAGAAACTGTCGTGGTTGCGCATCAAGATTTTTAAATAGTCAACAAATGAATATGTATATTTACTTATACACATACTTACTTTTAACATTTTTCTTACTCTGCAGGAAATATTGCTTTTTTTTTTAGTTCAGCATCAAATTATTACCACTTTTTCTAAGTTGGTTTTAACGACTTAATAGGTTATTAAGTAGTACCAGTGTGAATAGTTTAAATATACACAATTTATTTATGTAAAGTATTTATGTTTAATTATACAAAAAAAGTTTTATTCCGATTACTTAAATTTTGTTAAGCAGCAAATCGTGGTCCACTTAAAGTGTACGGCCTAATATCTAGCATTTTTGACGTAAGGCCATTAAATAGGATTAATATTCTATAAAATATACAAAAATAAAATTGTTCTAGAAATAATGCTTATTCAGGAAAGAAAAGATTCGTTTAAAAAAAATTTGATTTTGATTAAGTTTCTTAAGTAAGAAAAGAAAGAATATATTGTTTATAGCAAATTTAAAAAACATCTTTTATTATTACATTTACGTTGAATCTTGCTAATTGCTAATTGAATCATTAATACATTTATGTTGAATCTTGCTAATTGCGCTGTCTTTCTTTTTGATTGCTTGTTGTGTTGTATTGCTTTTTTTTAAACTAATTACGTTATCCACATAAATTCCATTAGTACATTATTTTTCTTTTATTTTTGAAGAATATATTACTTTTATTATTGAAGAATACAAGTATATTACTTACTACTTTGTTTGTGAAATTTATCTTAAGTTTTAGATGCTTAGAGCAAAGAAGGTTTTCATTGAACAAATACTTTTTTTAAATAAACTAAGCAGTTGTTCTGAATGATAAATCAGTGTTGATATTATAATCAAAACTAAAGTTTAATATTGCAAAAGTCAAATATCACAAACATAATTACCCATATAAGTATTTATTATGGTCAACTTATTCCTAGATAAAATTTTAATATACTGTTTATCTGGAAAAATATTTTTATCTTCACTAATCATTAGTTAATGGCAGCATTTAAAAAATCTTTTTTTTCATCTTTATTCATATTGCATTATAACCTCCTATATGAAAGTCACCTTCTCTACTGTCTTCTGACAAAGATATTTAAAGAGGAGCAGTTATGAGTAATGACTTTATTAGTACCTTTCAAAAGGGCTTTAATCAAAGAAGCAATTAAATTTTTGTTGAAATGTTAAATTAGTTTATGCAGACAAAATAAATTTCTTACAATTTACCTTTTTATTTTTCTCCAATTATCTGTCTAATTTATACTTTTGATCATTCAAGATAGCAGCATTTTCTAAATTATTTGAACAAATCGATTTTTATTATTAGCAATAATCCACCATTTATTAAATATGCCTAAAAAACTAACAGAACCCTCATCCTAATATAAATCCTAAATAGTACACAAACACTATAATAGGAAAAAAATTAAATTTGGGCGGTTTTAAAAGTTATTTGCTTAGTGGATATTTGCAAAATGGATATAAAATAGTATAAATTTATTTTATTTGTTTTTCTTTAAATTTTTTTTTTGCTATATCGCGACGTTAGAATTATCTTGTGCTATCTCCATGTTTTTGCAAACTGAGAAAATCGATGTCAAAGTTTGAATTTGTTCGCAGCTAAATTGAAAAAATATTTTGAGAATTTAGGTATTTCCTAAGATTTAAAAATGTTTTATTATTAATTTTTAGATAAAAAAAACTTTTTAAAATTACGCTAACGCCCTTTTTTTCGCACCCTCTTTTGGAGATAGAACAAAATAACTTTGGTTTTTAGTAAAATTCAAAAATATTATGTTGTTACATCATATATATTAAACATATTAAGTACATTTTTCAACAACGACATGTTAGAAATTGATGAAATTTTGTTCTACCTGCTAATTATTCTTACGCAGTACCATACACTCCTAATTTATGGGCATGGGCCCCTAAATTAGGGGCATGGGCCCCTAATTTAACGGGACCCTTTTCAAAATATAAGACGCTTTTTGTATTACCTAAAAAATTAAGTTTTTTTAAATAAAATGAGGCCCTAATTAGGAGAACTTTTAGAAGAGCCTCTAACGACACTGTTCTTACGACTTACATTTACTTTAATTACCTGTAGGCGCCGGCCCTGGACAAGACTAAGACGTCTAATTTAAAACGGAAAATTTGGCTGCGTAATAATAATATAAACGTATTAATATAATATAAACGTATAAAATAAATTATGAAAGGTATATAGGAAAGAGTTATGTTAAAAAAAAATGTAATAATAAAAGAAATAACATTATGTAACTATCTGATAATTCACAACAATTCAACTAATCTAATCACAAACTCCATGCAAGATGAACTTGATTTTATTTTTCTTATGCCTGTGTATCCATTAATAGAGTTTAACTTTTTATTAAAAGTTATTGCAAATATTTACAAATAAAAAATTGTTACTCAAGTTAACGTCAGGAAGGGCATCATGTTGTGAAACATTGCTTTAACTCTTTCATAGTGGCCTTTATGTCACTTTGGAAAACCATCCAAACCAAACAAGTGGGGGAAAATGAATATAAAAGTACAAAAAAACAAACAAAAAAAACACAAGCTAAACAAAAATTTTTATCAAGATTTCAAAATAATATTATTTCAATGTGTTTTATATTTATATTTATACTAAATAAATATTTTATTTAAATATGTTATTTATATGTATATTATTTATATTATTATATATATATAAATATGTTATTTATATTTATACTAAACATATAACAACCCTAAAAATATTTTGACTTTATTAATGTTTTGTAAATAATCAATTTATTATTGTTTTATAAAATGCAATATCAACAGCAGGCATGTATGAATACATGGAAATGATATCATTGGCTTTTGCAACAGATATAGACTGATAAGAAGCACGAAAGCAAGCTGCCATTGGTATATTGGTATTTAATGGTTTTGCAACAATGGTTGATGCTGCTTTCTTGACAGACTTATTTATACGAGCTTGTGAATAATTATCTGAAAACGAGGTTTTAAAAAAAACATGGTATGGCAGCCCGTTTCGATAAACAAGATTTTTAACCTTTGAATAAGGCACTAACTTATAACTTGACAAACCAGCGACAACTGAAAAATTCTTTACATCTCCTAATTGCATTTGGTAAACACAGAAAGGTTTTTTACGGTTTACATTTTTAATAGCTCTTTCTAGCCCAAGTGGACTAAATATTTCTGCAGCAGAGAGGGATTTTTCAATCTGACTATAAATGTTGTCACATTCTTGAATGCTGGAATGACCTGGCTTGCAGAACTTCTGTTCAATTACTTTTATTTGTGGGTATCGTATTATAAATTCACACAAAGCTGCTGACATGAAACTATTGCGGTTTTGTGGTACACATGAATCGAACCAAAGTATGAACTTATTTATGTCAAGGTCAGCCATGATTTTCAAAAGCAAACATGTTACAGCACTGGCTAGATCATTTCCTCCACGACCAGTCATGGCTTCGTGCCAAAGGATGCAATAACCCTTCCTGTTAAGCGAGCAATGACCAGTTAAGTTATAATTTGAAAGTTTTCGTTTGTAATAAAAGTTTCCCACATTAGCTCTAGGCAACTTTAAAACATTTTCAAGGTCAATACAAACAATTGCAGTTTTAGAATCAACATTTTGGCGATCATTTTCACGTTCAGTTTTGGTATCATTCCTTAATTTTATGTGCTTATTATAACTATCTGTTTGTTCATTGCTTGCATTAACAATGTTGCGATACTCATAGCATGTGTCACATAAATCTTTCTTCAGTTTTTGAAATTATATATTGAACTCGTGATTAAAGATATAACGATACATATGTTCTTTTGCTGGAGGAGAGACATTTTCATCACAATATATTTTATAAAGATCATACATTCTACCTATATTTAGTGATCCTTCCATGTATTCTTTATGTGTCTTTTTCCTGCTATAATGAGCATCAATTCTTGGGAAAAGGTTAATATGGTCTCGTACAACTTGTTTAGACTCTTCTAGTAACCTTTTTTTAACATGTTTCCCTGATTTTGATTGCAATGGTGTTCCAGTAGTTAAAGATTTATTAAACTTATGAAAGTAAAACACTCTATGGCTGCTAATATTCAATGTTGAAAGATAATATGATTTACAAACTCTATATTGTGTATTAGAAACAAAAAAGCTATAATAATATGTTTTTCTTCTTGAATTGTCACCAGCAGCGTTTTTTTTTTGTCGTTTGTACGACAGCGTTTTTTCTCCAGATTTTCAGTAGTTTTAGAATAGAAATGTTTTTTTCCGTCATCATCTAAGGTCCAAAAGTTATCAAATATTATTTGACGCTCAATCTCAGATATATTGGTAGAACATTTAAATTTACAATTTCTGCAACTTTTTAGTGCAACAATAGATCTTTTTGGCATTTGTTCTCCTTTCGTATTTTTATAAGCTTTACCCGACTGACGTTGGATTTTTCTTACACTTTGTTTCCAACTACTCCTATCAGCTTTACGTTTCCTAGAAACCCCACCATGGGGCGACCGACGAGAAGGTGTAATGCCAAGCAGCTCTAACGATTAAAATATCAATTTTTTATTATCCAGGATGTATAAATAATAACTTTTAAATTTAATCTAAAATGGCACAAGCGAAAGTCGAATTCTACTTTTCCAAAATTATAATACAAACTAAGTTGAAAAACTACCTTCGTTTTGATTTAGGGCAGGTTCCATTTCTTGGTCAATATTTGCAGTTGCCATTTTGAAAACAACAAAACTGATAAAATTATTCCGAACAACTTTGTAATTGTAATATGATTGGTTGATTGGAGATAGAACAAGATAATATTTTCAAGTTTGCTCATTAAGGAGATAGAACAATGCAATATTGCATGCAATACCGTGTTAAAAGTTTCATTTTTTTTCGATATAATTAAAGTAGAACAACACAATGCTAAAATATTCGAAAATAATAAAATCTCAATTTTTTCAAAAATTGGAGATAGCACAAGATAATTCTAACGTCGCGATATATTGCCATATAAAAGCCTACAACGAAGGTGCTCAAAGACAGGTTCAGCTCTCTAAAGAGCTTCACAACCCGCTTCAATGGACCAAGAGTAAGTGAGTTTAACAAAATATAAAAGTAAATAAGAATAAAAGTAAGAAGTAATCATGTTAGAAAGAAAGAATAGAGACAGATTTTGCACTCGATTATTAGGTTAGTTTCTTGG